TAAAAATGTCATTGTAAAAAAGTTCTGCTTGTAATGTTTAATATATTAACATCTTACCTCATACAGTTATTTTCTAATTATTACAGAACTGATACACATCATGAGGAGGTTAGCAAAGATTACGTAGTCCAGGCAAGACCTACTTCTTTTTAAGTGCAGTGTCCTATTTCAGAAAACTTGGATTCAAAGCAAGGCTGAGAACAAAAAGTTTCTTCAGAGTGGACTGCATTTGGATCAATATTACATGAATAATTTTCTTTTTAAACAAGGGGCATCCAAGAGGAATGACATTAAAATATTAATAGCTAATTCAATTATTTTTAAAATATCACAAAGAATTTTTTTATCCACCTGATAAAATTAATTATTTTATCACTAAATAAGTAAAGGTTACCCTTCTCACATGGATGTTTAACTAGAACTCCTGACATCAAGCTCAAACTGCATTTGAAACAATGAATAAAGCATGCTTGGAGAGTTTGTTTTGCTCCATTTCATAGAAAGAATATGCATATTGTTTACAAAATCCTCTACAATGAATTGTCAACTTATGTTCAATGTTATATTTAAAAAGTAGTCTTATTTTGAGAGGCTGGGAGGAATGTCCCCTTCTACACAGCCATCTTGCTACTCTGCAGTTTCTTTCTTTTGTGGCGAATCACTCTTTGAGCAGTGGGCAGTTCATGCAGTCCCCTCCGGATGCATCAAGTTTCTCCCCATGGAGCCCAGCTCTATCTCCATAGCATGGAGTCAAGGAGCTTTCTCATTCATCCATGTGTCCAACTGATTGCAATTTCTATCCTTTCTAACTATAATATGTCCTATCCCATCAGCTCTGCCACAGACTTTCTGCCTGGCAATGGGCAACAGGAAAGATTCCAATAAGTGATTTGTGTAATATGTGACTGTACTTTAGACAACTATATCCTGAAACTCCCAGCTCAGATGTCATTGATTGTCAAGGAAATTCAAGGTTCAATTTTCAATCAGTTGCTCTTCGGCCCCGCAGGTTCCTTTCTAAAACGATCAGTAGTTTGGCATCTATTTGCTTAATAAGACTTCAAAACTAAATTTCCCTTTATCCATGCTTAGGAGCTTTATCCTGTATGCTTGCTCTCGAAAATACTATTGACAGGATTTTCTACAAAGTTTAAACAGTGACACTCCTATCTGAAGGCACAGTATCCACCACCATACTCAGTAGGGTGCTTATGTGCTTTCTCAGGGAGTCCTGTTTTCAAAGAAAAATGTCATCCCTGACTCTCTGTAAAACAAAAAATTAAAGATGCTTAATCCTCAGGAGATATTTCTAAACTACAAATCCGGAACAGACAGTAGCACCTCAAATTAGAACCAAACTTGATCCTAAGCAGGGCTTGTTTACACAGATCAAAATCCTTAAATCAGTTTTTATTTCATCCATTCAGGCGCCTCAAGTCCTAACCCAAGGGGCAAAAAGTTCTCATAAATATATCTCCGGCTTGTTATTGATATTGACACCCACACACATTTCAGCAGTTCAGCATGCTATTTCCCATGGATTCTATTCAACTGCCTTGAATAGAATAGACTTAAAAGCCTTGGTACTTCTCTCCTATAAAGTACACAAAGACATTTTGTTCTGCTTTCCTGCAGAACAAAATATTCTCACCTATTTGTTAGTGGTGAAAGCCACGTTAACATGCCATCATGCTCATTGCCTTCATCTTTAGGCTTTTTTTGGACCTAGCCATTAGAATCAGTCATTAAAGAGATAATACAAGTATAATTTGAATTTTAAAGGATATTCAGACACTCAACTGTTTACAGTTCTTTGAACTCCAAGCTTGCCTGTCTATTCCCTGTATAAAATAGATAGCAGCTCTCTCAACAACTAGAGAACCAGAAAGATAAACACAACAATGTTGCTGGAGCATTCTGACTCCAGATTGACATCCACATCACACAAGCTGTACCAATAAAAGCAAACCACACAATATAAATAACTTGTAAATAATTGTAAAATCCTCTACCCATTTCTAGAGGGCCTTTTAAGTATAAAGTCCTGCATTAAGTAGAATCTGAACTTCAGCTCCCCCTATGTTAAATCAGAATCCTGCACTTTGCTATGTCACGGGGAAGATATGAATATAAACACCTGAATACCCCAATCTTCATAGTGATGGGAGATGGATAAGTTCCTTAGCTAAAACAAGAACATTAACACTTCCTTGCCTTGGAGTATTTTGATAGATACAATGAATGCTGTTGTATCTAAGAACGCCAAGGGATATGAATAAGTATTAAAAATCAAGTCTGCATCATTTGGGAAAAGATATTACAGATGCCTAAAATTTCTTCACAGTTTGAAGAGCTGAGAAGTTGCATGAGGACAGTTCTAGCAGAAAAAAAATCCTCTTTTTTACCTGATTTTCTCTCATCTAATGTGTACTCAGAGCACATCTTCCTGTGCAGCTGGAGGCTTTGTTACAGACAGAAGGACACTGCTTAGTGTAGCCAGTGTTTATTGACTAACTTTTTTTCTAAAGATGAATTTGGAAAATTTCCCAGATAATACATCTGCCCCTATTACTTGCACCTTGGAGTGTAAGACCAGCTAGGGAGGTAGTGAGGACAACTGCATTTATTAGCAATGAATAAACTGATCAATCTTTTTCTGGATTAACAGTGGGAGTTCCCAGACACACCGAGAAGTATCTGTCTGCTGACTGACATATACAAGCTGGCACACTTTTGTGTCAAAAATGTACACAGCTGCACGCACACTAAAGCTGTTCCATCTATAAAGCACAATTGCCAACTGCTTGTCTTCAGACATTGGTTATAAGAGAGGGTCTCAACAACAAAACAACTGAAGAGTGCAGTTACAAAATATTTTTCACTCCCTTAAGTGTCTGTCTTTCTAAACTCTCTTGGACTTGCCATCATTTTTTGTAAGAAGGACAGATGATCTACTAATAAAACCCCAGATTAATACTTCTCAAAAACTTCATTGAGTTGCCAAACCAGAATTACAGATTTTTATGTACCAAACACAGACTGATTTAACCTCATTCTCAGTCATTACTAGCAGATGTCTGGACAAATTTTCTAGTGTGTTTTAGTTCTAGGTTGTCTCCAAATACTCTGACTAATAGCTGGTAGAAAAGAAAGAACACAATCCAAAGCTATGATAAATTATATTTATCCATACAGTCATCAGCCATCAGGTGCCAGCATGGAGGGAGCTTTATTTTAACATCTTTTCCCAACCTGTCTGTCCAAACTCTCTCAGATCACCCCAGTCATCACAATAAACTTTATTCAAGGCATCAGTCTCAGCTTACGGAGCACAACCAAACCCTAGACTGAATCAACGCCTGGGTAGATTGGTGTTGGGCTTGCTTGGTTACAAATAGACAGGTACGTTAACAATCCCAATTATAACACTGTCTTCCCCCACACTCTGATGAGAAGTATGAAATTCAATGATACTCATCATTCTTTACCTGTCTGATTAAACTATTTAACTATATGCAGTGATTGGAGCTCCAGTGAGAAAAACTGCAGCTCACAATTCCTTTGGTGTTTAGATCATCACAACAGAAGAAACATACTAGAGGTTTTTTTGCTAAATATACAATAAAGGATGCAAACCGATGTCAGGAAAACCATCAAGCAATTTGGATGAGGAAAGGAGCCCAACAGCTGTTCCTACAGATTCCCACACAGAGACAGGTTTTGCCAGTCAACACCGCGTCAATATTTAACTAACACATTATCACTTGTTATTATTATTTGACAAGTAAGCACCTAGCCAGAAAATAAAACTCAAGTCATCTTCAACTTTGTTTTTTTAAGTCAGATACACTGAGTGATCATAGAGAGGCAAGAAGTTGATTTCTATTTTAAACAAAACCTGAACTTGCACACACATACTCGCAAGTATCGAGATATCTGTGCACAAATATTTCTGCCAGAATTACCTATGGTGACCCTGAAGACAAGGGCATGTCAGCTATGTGCTCTTCAAATCTTCAGCGTTCTTTTGTGTGTCAACAATGCTGCATGGTTTTTGCAGTCCTTATTTCTCTTAACAAACAAGCACCAGGTTAAGTTGTGTCACTGCGTGGTGTGGCCTTAGCACCAAGCTAATGCTTGCTCTTAGGGCTGCCTAGATTCATTTTGGATTTCCCCCTGCTGCTGTCAGTCTCTTCTTTTAAACACTCACACTTCATGAATGCCTACGCATTACTTCACTTACAGACGTCTACAACATCTCAAACAGTCAACCAAGTTAATTTTTTTCAAAAAACATACAGTCTATGTCTTTGCTTTATCCCAGAAGAAAAGACATCAGCAAATGATGAGAATTACAGAACACAGACATGACGACCCATTGTGGGTCATCACAACAGGACATAAATCTGCTTTAATATGAAAAACTCCCAGTTCCAAAATAAGTAACTAATAAAAAAAAAAATTTAAAAAAATACCCAAAGGCCCAGAAACAGCAGAATTCTGTCAGATTGACAGGATGTTTTCCTTCCTTGACAAAAAAAAAAAAAAACCAAAAAAAAACAAGATCACAACTCAAACGTTCTGAATATGAAAGACAGACCTTTATGAGTGCTTATGCAACCTCAGGTATCATCAGAAAGATACCAAATAAAACACACCTTAGCATTCACAGAGAACTAATTAAAAAGTTTTTATCCCAGAAGAATAAATAAAATCTATCTTATGTTTACAACTCAGAAATGAGTCAAATATGTAGTTAGAGTCACTGTCATGTACATCTCTCTGTCCAAACAGAAAGAAATAAAAATCTCACACATCCAATGTTTTTTCAACAGGCTTTTTACCTGCGAATCGAAATAGTCCGTATATCACTAACTGTCATATTAAATTAATAAATTAAAACCCATATATTTTAAAATAAAAATTATATAGGACATGATAATAAATGGTAAAACAAATGCAGAGTACAATTAGTACATTTTGGAAGTAAACTCATTTACCTGTAAAGTAAGTATTGGTGGGGAGAGTGGAACTAGCAAATCTGTAATACCCATTTCCGGGAAAGCGGATCCCTTTCATTACTTCTGTGCTAAATGTAGCTAAAGATGAATCCATCCTTTCCACTTGGTAGATGGGAGAAGGCCCATTAAGCTCTTCAGGTTCATTCCAATATATCTTTACCGTTGTGCTGTTTATTCCTTCAACATGAGGGGCATTAAGTTTTCTTGGAGCTGTGGATAAATAAAAATTGTCTAGGTATTTTTATCCATAACACTTGGGAAATTAATTATTGCACATGACATAATTTTTGCAAAATGTCCTTCTTCAGTTTCTGATCATCTTAAGAATAAACACAAATATCCACAAAAGCTTAATTAGAGGAGAAAATAAAAACCAAGAAACATGTTTAATCTTCATAAAAACTTAGTTTTAATTGCACAAGAAATACACTTTGTTTATTCAAGCTTTGGATAAATGTTTCTACTGTTATATCCAAAATATTTTTTTCCTGATCTTTAAAAATATGGATCAGCATCTTCATAAAAATTATATTTGTGTTCCTTTCTTGATCAGCCTCTCATTCCATACTCACTGTAAGTATGTATCTGTATGAACTTCACAACGGATGTGAGGGAAAAACCAAAAAAGAATCTGAATAGTTAATTAACTCTTTTTACATCTCAGCATGGCACGAGACAACGTGAGTCTTTTGTCACTGGACTTATCCTCACAAAAAGGAGCAGAACAGCTATCTGTCTAAATACTGAAGGCTCATCATGTTGTTCTCCTCATTATATGCACACCAGACATTAGCATGTATTCAGATAATAATTATTCAGTTCAAGAAAATGATCCTCTCTAACTTTTCTTCGCCAATAGTGGTGCACAATAAGATGCCATACAAGATTGTTTCCATGAAGGTATTAACATAAAACTATCTTATGTTATTAGGATGATCCTCCTACCATTAAATTCAATACTTTGATAGTCTTTTGAAAATTCTGATAGCATTAGTAACTCTATAGCTGAGTTATTAACAAAACATATTCCATTTTTTTGTAAAATACTGTACAGTAAGCCACTGGAGGGCAGCATGACCTGTTTGGATAATGGCTCAATGGCCATACAGGTGGGAAAGAAATGGACCACCACTGAAACATCTCTGGAGAAGTACAAGAACATTCTACTATGTACAGAATCTATATACATCTTACCTTGCCTTTCTTTTTCCCCTTCTTTCCCTGATAAAGAAAAGGATTTAACAACAGAAACTTCATTTGTACCCAGGAAGCGAAACACAATGACAACTTGTAAAAATTACTTGTTCCCATAATGACACAGTAAAGAGCAATAAACGCCTTTCAAGAACAATAAAACCCGAATTAAAATATGGGCCTTCAAAATCTGACATATTACTTCACAGCCCAGCATTGTACATAGCATGAGTTCTTTAGAGAAAGGAGAGATTGCTCCATTTAAAATGAATTAATAACATCCTTTTAAATATTCGCTCATTTCCAAGATCATTAACATATTTTTCATTTTTCTTATTTGCTGGTAGCATATTACTTCTTTCTTTTTCTTTTTCTTTGTCCCCCACGCCCCATAACTTGATAAATATTCTTCTTGGAGGATGCAAGGAGTGGGGGAACTGGGAAACTGCCAATGGCACTGTGTGCTGTAAATTCCTGCTTAGGTATCATTTATGACTTCACAATCTAATTAGTATCTCACACGATGGTACAAATTTACAATGTCAAAATTGAAGTAATGCAGCGTGAGGTCATAAGCTTTCCTGAATAAGTAGGGCATACCACTAATGAATTGTGGTATTAATGCACAAGTTTAAATAGAAAACATGGCTTAACAATCAAAACTTCACCTTTGAGGGAACTAGCATACGTCAGCATTTTAAATGAGAACTGAAGAGGTTGAGCCCTCCAGTTCAGATTACTGATGGCAAAACAGAAACGCTAAAATTCATTATTTTTAAAATGCATCCAGCTGACTAGCACTCATGACAATAACTATATCTGCCTTTAAACTCTAGTATTAATAAACGGCAGTTACTTGGACCACAATTATGGCATCTCTGATACCCAAACCTGAAGCTTTTATGGGGCTTATGCAATTAACTACTTAAATGCATCGTAACACTTGCTTCTCTGACAGGGAAGTATTGATTTTTTAATCATTTTCAAGTCTCCTCTAGCACAAATAAATGTACTACAGTTACAGTTAATGCACTGTGTACACGCATTAAACACTGGCATGACACAATTTATTATTTTCTGATATATGGAACAGAAGACTACCCTTTCAGAAAGTAACATCCTTGCTTTGACATTAGTATTTAAACTACAATCTCGTAGATGCTTGAGAATTCTTATGCATCAAGACAGCAGAAAACTGTATAGAATGGGTTACATAAGTATTAAAAAAAAAAAAAAGAAGAAGAAAAAAACAACTAGCAAAAATACCCAAACAGAAAACCCAACTGCACACAGAAACAGACAGGACTTAAAATAAATCTGTAGCACTAGCCCAGCAGGGTACTAAATGCTGAAATTAAAAATATTCAAGACTAAAAGATACAGTATATATTTTCCTAAAGGTGTCACTGTGGTACCTGTAGCAACTTTCCGTAAGATGAATCGACTATAATTTTACCTATTTAATTTTTTTTTAGTCACGTTCTGTTAAGACACATCTGTCAAAATAATGAGCGCACTGCATTTTAGCAGATTCAAAGTCACATTTTTGTGTATTTTAATTATGTAGTTTTAATGTCTTGCTATATAATACATATTTAATATATTATAAAGCTAAAACAGTATTTAAAAGCCCATGATTGCTGCATGCCATTGTGTAGCAGAGGGCAGAGAAAAGACCAATAAAGACAGATGGTCCATACAGCTTACGTTGAAGTCATATATCTAAATATAGATGTTGCTACACAGGTTATTACAAATAAGCCTTTCCCACGTGTTTATGCACACACATGTACACAAAAATGAAGTTGGTAAGTAAAGAGCAGTTAATTTTGTTTTGTTTGAAATAATATCATTTTAGTTTTAGGCTCGAAGACAGATGCCAGCATTTCACTCTGAACAGATGGTAATTCCATCTAATAGTGCATCTCTGTATTAGTAAGGTCTGTTGTGTATACAAACAGTAATAAACACTAGGTAAGGATCAAAATAAATTTTAATTGTTGACATTAAATTCTGGCAGCCATGGTTCTAAGGATACAATACTCCTTTCTCAAGTCTGTCAGGTTTACTAATACAACTGCTAAAGCTTTTGTATACTCTGCCAGATTCTTGTCCCAGGAATAACATATTTACACTGTAGCTAAATTTTACAGGCCTACATATGTTTGAGTAACTCCTCCTCAGCACACTGTAGGTAGGTATTTGTGTGCTCTTCCACCAAAGCCTTCAATTAGACACTCTGAATAGTTCAGGAAGACAGTATAAAGGATATATACAAAGTATACAGTTTTTAATTATTGTTAAGTTGAATTCAAAATGCATACATACAAATTAAAACATAAAAATTGGTAAATTTGAGGACAAAAACTTACAGAAAACACATTTTCTTTTCATCTTGGAGTGCAGGCAAAATTGCAGGCAAAATTACATGCCTCACTATGGGTCATCCATTTCATTTTTGCTACCAGTTACTAGTTCAGGGGATCCCAAGTCTGCTATTGCATTTCTGGTATGTTCTCTTTTTCTGCACTTCACAATAGTATCAGTCATTTCAACAGTAAGCGAGTCAAGTAATAATACTTATGTCTTCTGACAATATTTTGAAATTTTAGGAGATTTTTTATAGAGTCCATTTTGGACTGTTTCCCAAAAAGAATGGCACCCACGCACAATGGACACCAAAAGAAAATTTAGTAACGTGGATATTTTGCAATCATATTTCTTTTAAAATAGATGTAATACAGTGTATTTTTTAAAAATCATGAAAAATATATTGCTTCCACCATATGGGACAACCAACGACTCACCAACCGATTTAAGATGCAGCATATTGAGCTGACCATATGTTACAGTGCTGTTGAATGGCTGAGTGATTCATGCCCGTCACATTCTAGTATATCAATTAAAGCTCCTTGAAGTCTGCATGATTTGTGTCTCTGTTATTAAACCCTGCTAATTCATCCCACTTACACATCTGTTATAAATCTCTAGGAGTGCTGCATGATTCATGGCAATCTGTGAGCATGGTACAGCAAATTCTTCTCCTTGTAATTAACAGTAAATTGTTTTACTGCCATGCAATGAATTTTTCAGTTATATTGCAAATGAACTCCTAAATGCACGGTTCTTTCCTAAGAACTGACTTATATTATTAGGCAATTAAAAAGTATTGCTCTGAACCAAAAGCTTTTAATCAAGAGGAATGCAACTTAAACACAGCTTAAAAACCTTGCAAATTTGACAGAGAGGAAAAAGAACAAGCTGAGCTGTTTTGAGCTATTGTCTGAAGTATAATATGTGGTTGGTAGGGTAGAGGAAACAAGTAACTTTTGCATCCCTGCTAATTTCCTGAAACTCAAAGAGCAGTTTAACTACAGCTTGAATACTTGGCAAGACAAGTTTGAGCAGATTCTATTTATCTCAGAAGTTACTTAAGTCATCTGTCATTACGAAATTTCTCAGATTACTTTACACTTTTCTAATTGTAAAACAGCGCCTTTATTCTTGAAATAAATAATTGGATAATTAGCCAAGCTGAATCATCAGAGGATTCCAGTGCTGCTCAAGTGTTCTTGTCAAAGGTGAAGCAAATTCATTTCAGCTTTCCCTCTGTAGCTTTCTGAAGAGGCTTTGATTTTTTTTTCCTGCTACATTCTTGGCAGCAGCCTCAAATTCATGAGTCCATACATCAAGTCAGTAGTTTAACAACAAATGAAATTAAATTCAAAGAAGGGAAACTAATTGAAGGACAGTAACAAAAGTGTTTGGTAATGTGCTTTTTAATATGGCATGCCACATTTGCATGATAATTTTTCCTTTTTAGCATGGAGCAGAAAGTGACTAGCTTAATGAGGGATTATTCAAGACAGGAATGAACAAAATGCATTCATAACTAAGAACAAAGATTGTATTATGAAACGGAAACAGGCAACTGCCGAGAAGTAACTGGATGATTGGTTTATGCATTATGAATAAAAAGGTAGAAAAATATTTATATTAGTATTCACTAATGACTATATATACAAGATTGTTGTAATTAAAATTATAAATTAACATATTAAGAGTGCTTGTTTAATCACTTTAGGTCCTATTCACAATGAAGAGACTTATGTACATGCATGCAAAACAATCTGTGTTTCCAGGCCAGCAGCAAATGGCCCTCGTATTTCTCTTCTGTAACAAAGGAAAATATACATTACTTACTCCCTATTTAATGGGTATCGGTGATTCTAAAATTGAGGCATAGCATTATGTAGAAGAGCAGTCTATGACAGGCATAAACAAATGAGGCTTTTGAAAAGGGCTTGCACCAGACCTTATTCATGAATGGAAAAAATGGACAAATTACCCAGATTAAAAGGGTAATCAAAAAGAAAACGACATCAAGGAGTGTAAGACAGCCCAGAATTACCCCAGCAAACCCAGAGGCAACTCCAAAGCCACCAAATACAACTGCTTGAGAAGTCTGCCAAGAAGCCAGATGCAGCTGGTGCTGGAAGAATATCTTCTACAAATTAGCTTCTGAACCCTGTAATTGCCATCAAAAGTGAAGGATCGGGAATACAATGTGCCGGGGTAAATGGCAGAAATCACAAAGCCATACTTTGCTGTGTCTTAAAAAGTGCTTTTTAAATGAATTTAAAAAAAAAATTAAGGGCAAAGGAAAGACAAACTTAATTACAAGAAATAAGCTTAGTCACATAGTAGTTAATGAAACATATCTGTATAGATTGTTTAAGGCACTCTTTGACTATACGATTTGAGATCAGTAGCATAAGCAATTGTACTAGTCCAAGCACTCACACGGCTCATTTCATCCTGTTGAAACCTCAGAAATTGCAGGGAATAAAGAGGTGTTTCTCTGCCTCACTGAAAAATTTTGAAGACATGCATGTTTTGTATTGGTAAGTCATAATTTTATGCAAATATATTGTCACAAAAAGACACCTTTAAAGGATCGGATCTCTCACTGGTACCAGCTAGTACAGTTCTATAGATTCCAAGGTACCAGTTCAGAGTCCTACATGAGGGAAAACCACAAAGAAAAAGCTTCTTTTGAAATAATAATAATAAAAAAGCATAAGACCTGGTAAAAACAACAGGCTGGATGCCATTCTCAGACAGGAACCTGAATATGGCAGAACGTGAAGAAAGGAATAAAGTAAAATTTTTCTCTATGTATTGAAATGAAAAGTGTATAATTACTGTCCAATATTTCTTTCAGTTACACACATGCAGTTCCACTTAATGATCTTGGGGTAGCACAGGCAAGAATAAAGTTCAAATTGGATTCCAAATTTTCAAATAAAGTATTAACAATGAACTTTCTCCTCATCAGCCAAGGATTTCAATAGAATATGCACGATATTGCAGTGCATAAAAAATATTTCAAATACTGCAAGGCTTTTGGAAAGTGCATCATCTCAATTTACCATTTAAAAGACTGAAAAAAGTATGGAACACTTAATCATTCAAATATTTAAAAGTCCACTATTTATGTATTTGTATCTGAATAGACCAAGCTGAGGTTCTCTTTCTGTCCAGTCACCTTCTCTTTGAGAAAGAGAGATGGGTAATTCTCTTCTTCTGTTACCTTGATATGCGTGTTTTGATCTGTCATCCCAATACTGAATTTACCACATAACATTGATCTTCCAACACGTTTCACCATTCCCAGAGCTGGTCACGCGTCAGGCATAACTGTTCAAGTTCTTTTATTTAACACACCCTCCTGGTTTCATATGCATTTGTAAGACCTTCCACTCAGTCTTTCATAAAATAACTCCATTCTTAATAAGTTTACTTTGTTTGCTTCCTCACTCTCCCTCCTCACATTCTTCTGGTTTATCTTCTTTTATTACATTTACAAATATCGTTGGTGTATGTATTGGTGAGGAGGAGGTTTTTTGCCAGTCTGACAGACATGAGGACATATGGCCAATTTTAGTTTTCTTTCACTCTACTTTTGCAAAGCTAGTCATGAGATATTCCCAATACAGATGCCTATGCTGAACCAAGTTATGTTTGCTTCTGGATTATTTTAACCAGTTATACTGCAAAGACTTCTCACTGGAAGATCAGCAAACTCTTTCTGATGCTTCTGCTCCCTTAGGTATTATTCTTAAATTCTGCTCCTGACTGCAGAAGTCTCTTTTCTTTGTCTTTTCAATCTTATCTCAAAACCTCTTACTTTCCTCCTCAGCACTTTCATTTCTAATTATTTCACGCCCTTGTTTCTGCCCTTGTTTTTATTTGATGTGTTACGCTGTATTAAAAACAAAACCAAACAAAAACAAAAAAGCGGCAAGAGAAAAAGAAGAATTATAGATTTTTAAGGGTATCCTTTTTATAACTAGTCTTCAGATTAACCAAATGGATATGAACAAAGCCTTAAAATTACTTTGAATTTTAGTGGCAAATTTTAGAAGCCATAGGCGATTCCAAAAAGAAGCCCTTTGCTAACACACATCAGTTGTGCCAAAATCACAGTCATCAAGGTACCCATCAATTTAAATGGTCCATGTGATAAATTAGTATACTCCATAGATGGAAGGAGTGGAGATGGTTTTCCATTATCCTCCTGAGGATCAGAGGAGAAGAATGAGTCTAACTTCGTATAACCTCTAGCCCAACTTGGAATACAATTCAAAGCTCCTGAGTTGTGTTACGATGCAAGGGGACCATCATGCTGGAGCACATTTCAGTCAGGACTTCCTCCAAAAAGCTCCCTTTGCCAGGGCATGGAGGGGGACTGGTATCCAGCCAGGAAAGCTGTCTCTTTGCCAGGAAGACATTCCTTCACGAAAAAGAACTCAGCAACAGTCCTAGAAAGGCAATTTTAATTTTATTTTGCACCATTCTGTGATAAAAAAGGATAGTAACGGACTAAGAGTCACAAATTACAGGGACTGGTTTCTCCTAACTTTGTTCCAAATTTAAACTCACTTTGATTATCATCATGTAAGTAATGCTTCTTTTAAATTTTCTTGGGAAACAGTTTTACAGAACTTCACAGAATGAAACACATACAGTTTGGGGGGTTTTTCTGTGTGTGTGTATGGACAGCTTAAAATAAATTTCTCCAGAAACAAAAAAATGTGAATGTTGGAAGATGAAATTGCATGCAAAATTTAAGGGTTTTATTTTTTAGTTTGCCAATATTTAATCCATTGCAACAACATGCTTTAAAAACATAAAAGGAATCTGATACAGGACTGATTCTTTTCTTTCATGGCTTGCAGGAAAAGGCTTCACTGCAAAACAGCTAATAAATGGGGACATGTCTGCTATGCTATTTTGTATTCTCCTGTCTTCTCTAATGTGATAGGTCTCTAAGTATTAACACAACCAGGGAGTAGATGGTCATAAACAAGCTGTCAAGCATAACTAAGCTATTGTTTCTGAATCTTTTAATAAATGTATAAATGCAAAGTTGGATCATTTGTAGTAATAAGGTGTGCTGTTTAGACGATGTTTGTTTCCATGGTTATCAGCACAGACTGAAACACCATTCCTTGCATGTCCATGTAGTATGGGATAAAGTCATACAAGCAGGAGGCTTTGTATATGGCCAGCCTTCCACTTGAAAAGAAATGGAAAGACAATGAAATAAATAGACAATGAAGAACTGAGGACAGATTAGAGGAAAGATCCTGACAGCTGAAATTTCACTTCAACTGATGTATATAAAGCTTCCTATTTATTGGCTCTGGGCAACTCCTCATTCCCTATCTGGAAGCTCCTATATCTCTTCATTGATTAAGCAGAAAAACTGTGGTGAAATTCAGAAAACACAAATATAGCCCAGGGAGTCTAGGAAAATATTTTGTACAGCAGAAAATTTCAGATTTTTTCCTATGGGAGACCAAATTACATGAGAGAGATAATTGCAAAGATCATCACTACAACATCCATATGACAACACTACTAATTGGTTAACATTTCTAGTTAAGCATGTTTAGCTAGTATAGTGAAATTAATGTGTTTTAAATGCCTATACAAAATGGAACCACGATGTTAAGTAGTCAGCTCTCTTCAGATGACCACCAGTATATGTCACATAGCAAGGATTTTGAGCCTGTATTTATAAAATTAAAGAACTGTACTGACTACCTTGTTCCATGAAATAGCTGATTTTCTTAACAGTTTCTCTCTTAAAACTCTCTTGATCCTGCAACAGTCCAAGAAGTGAGTTTATGCCAGTCCTTTCTTCAAAGTAAATACAGCCCTTCTCTATCTCTATTCTGTACCGATGGTTATTTTCCCTGAAATTTGTAGACAGCTGATACCTTTGAAATCCATGACAATGTGGTTGAAATTAACTCAAAGACTGAAAATTTATTAAGGTGCACAGGAACATATATAAAGTTTCTTTAGCACCGTTTCCATAGGAAAGTGTGCGTATACATATCTACAAAGTAAAATCCCATATATCTCAGGGCCTAAATAAACATTTTCAAAAGAGCAGACCCAAAACATGTATGTTGCTTTTGATTCAGACACACAAATACACTATACAGTTAGGTTAAAAAGAATAGAAAAGCCATGCAACTCCTTCTTCATGTGTTAAGCAAGGCATTGGCACCGCAGGTGTATTTTATGTCCCCTGTTATGCAAACATGACGTACACACTGAAAAAACCCAGCAACAAATCAACAACTTCTTAGCATCATAAATGAATGAGTGGGTGCAGCCACACTTATGTACACTCACTGTTTAAACAAACAGGAACAAAAAATACACATATCACAACTTGCAACTGAGAGAGCAGTACACAAAGCCTACTGCCATAATAGTGTACCTTAAACCTCCATTGAAAACATTTTGGTTTTAATCTGTCAAGATAAACAAGTAACAATTAAGCAAGTCACTTTGTATTAATACAACACCTACCCCTGTCACTGTGCATCAAACTACGATCATCATAATAGTATTCATTAGTAAACTGTGTGTCAGCTTTGCACTTTGCTACAGATTGTTTCCTTACCAGCTGCCAAGGTTTGCCCCATGCCTGGCTCACTGGTTACACAACCAATTTGATTGCAGAGAGTAACAGTAAAGTTGTATGTCCTGTAAGGTTTTAATCCCGTTGCTACGTAGGAGAGCTCATGAGCCTCAGCTATATGCAAAACCTGCAAAGCAAACAGATTGGAAGACAACAGTTGGTTAATAATATTTTCATTCCTGCCAATTGATGACATGTTCACGAATAAGAAACTTGTCTCTGAACTTCCAGATTCCTTTATTCAGATGCGGAAAAGCCTGAAAAGACCAACTGAGGGAGAGGATTATTTTGGAGAATCTGAACAAGCTGGGATTTAGGTGATAATACTTCCCATCACACTGTTTTATGAGGTAATAAGCCAGTTCCTGAGTGGATAAATGAGGAAACAAAGTTATTGCCTCATAAAACTGTGTGGTGGTGCAGTTATCACTACAAACAGTGCAGCTACAATCGAAATGACAAAAATGACACTATTAAGTTGTGAAATCTGACCACCATTGGAGGAGTGACATGATTAGCAGGCATTAGGAGGGAGGGGAATAACTAATACCTACAGACATTCACATCTGCTTTACTTCAACATTACTACAAACTATCAAAAGAAGAACTGAATAAACTGTAGCATTTTAGATAACTTTGTTATCAGATGGTTGTTTAAATGAAAAATCTTGCAAGCCTGTGACCTGAAGCACTTGGCATTTATGTATTGTTACAATAACCCTAGGAGCAGTAGTATCCCTACTTCATAGGCATATAAACTGAGGCCCATCTGTGGTACTACCGAAAGACAAAATCGGCTCTGAAGGAGAAATTCAGTATCAGAGCACCAGATTCACTTTCCCATCCTGATTACTCATCATGTTTCTTTTCTCATTCCTAAGGTTTTGGCTTACTACTAGTGTCATGATACTTGTTTGCCAACCCCAGTCAAACAAACAATACAATAGTATTTTAAAGTCACATATTTTGACTTCTTAAAGATGTTTCTTTCTGGTATTTTAGGTTTCCCCACTTCAAAATAGTCAACTAAGAAGCTGGACAGGTACCTTCTTAATGACAGTGTAGATTCCTACAACACAATTTGGCTCTAAGAATATGAGCAAATATAGCAAAAATACAGAATCAGTACATGCAAATATCAAGATAATTTACATGTTGTAAATTATCCCTCCTAATTTTGAATCTCTCCCACTACTGAAAACAAGTCAGCTCAGGAATACAACTTAAAACCTAAGAGCACTCAAACTGGTAGGTGGAAAAGTTAGAGAATATACAGCAAGTCAGGGAAACAATTCATCAGACAACCTCAGAGGACATCAGACTTTATCAATTTTAATATTACCAGTTAGGAAAAACATTATGCAACTAACAATAATACCTGGGAAAATGGTGGCAAGGACCTTTGTTCAGTCATTAAACTGATGCTGTAACCCATCACTTCTCCTCTTGCTAAATTATCTTCTGGTTTTTCCCATGACACATTGAGGGAATATGGTGAGAGAGAGAATACTGATGGAGATGGCATGAATGCTGGGGCTGAAACAAAGTTAATATAATAATATTTATAAAATAAATGAGCAATGTGTATAATGCAAGCTTTCTCACTGTATTTGTAAAACACCATTTCAGACAATATTTCTTTTCCCTTTTTAAACTTTATTCTCAAGTTTAGCTAGAATTTTCATCTTCTATTGATAGCACATAAAAAATACTTCACTCATCATTCTCCTGTTTTCTACTCTGGCTGTGAATGCAGAATAAAACTGCCTATGTCTTCAAAGAAATACTAATCAACACTACAGTCTAAAACCCCGTAGCAGGCAGGAAAGTACATACAGACAAAAAGGTCTTGAAGAAAAACTTCATGCAACATGGGAAAAAACTGATAAAAGCAAAAAGTGTTCAATACTTCAGCATCTTAAAAGCAATTTTGTTTGCCAGGCCAGTTTGAAATTAACATGTCTCTCACTTCTTACAAAACAGTTCCCCTGTCTTCCATAGTAAATCTGTTAAAGGATTGTTTGCACTGCAGTTAAATCCCCACCTGATTACTCTGTAATAATAGGATACCAACTCATAGCACTTCTGCTACATACAAACAACCACACTAATGGACCTCTTCCCAAATACAATTTAACACTTTTATAACATATAGTATTTAGGAACAGATAAGCACAAAGACTCATTTTGAAGGAGGAATTAGTTTAGCCTGCTGTTTTGCAGGAGCAAATGTCTAAGGACATGATTTTCAAGCTAACAGCAAACAAACACATCAGTAACATAACAGAGATGTTTAATTGCAAATCATAGGCTCTATCAGTCTGAAAATCTTAGATTTCTACTGAAAGGATTTAAATAAATTGTTGTTATTTCAAATAATATGTCAAGTGGCAAGCCCTTTAGAAAATATGAACAGAAGGGTCACTGTAAGAGATGCTGCAAACTAGTTACACTTCAGAAAAAAGGGTCCATATTATGACACTTGGCCTCCATAAAAGCATATGGAAAGGAGTTAAAGCTCACACTGCCTGTCTCAAACACTGTTAAGGCCACAGAAGGACTTTGCCATGAGATAAACACAGAAGGGTGTAACAGGGTGGTGCTAACTCCAGGCCCGGAGGCGGCAAGATCTGATTAGCTCAACCTGGTTAACACATCCAGACAAAAATTCCCACTGTGACAAATTGTAAAGAAGCAACTGCTTATACACATATCACCAGTCAAACGAAGATATGTCCCAAGTTATGGGACAGATGGCTTCTGCACCCATCAATGACCACCAAAGTCCCCCACGAATATGCCTCTATGGATACCTAGAACTTGGACTATAAAATAAGCCACCACAGCAGGAACTTGAGATAAAATAAAGGCAGTACTATTGTTGGGTGTTATCTCAGACCTAGGTGAGAGGTTAACAAAGCTGGGGGAGAAGAATGTGTCACTGATACAGAAACGCAGAATTTACATGCCACAAGGAAAGCCAATTCAGCAAGGATGCTGAAATCAGCTCCCACTGGGTAAAAGGTAATTTTGGCAGGAGGAGTTTAAATTTTGGGTTAATCGATATGGATTACTTTCCTCAATACTATGATTTCATGGTGAAGAAAATGTTTTTGCTTAACATGCTAAGTTCTGAGATAACCTGAGATAACCTATCTTTAGTTAGATAAAAACGAGAATTTGTCCCTAGCTGAACCACCACTAGACACATTTTATTGAAAAAAAAAATTAATAATACATGATATTCTAGTTTTTCCTTTAATTTCTATCAAAGAAATTCAAACCAGTGCTTACCAGCCTCTCCTGTTTGTCCTGATATCCAGTCTGAAGATATGCTACCTGCCATGTTTACTGCTACCACATAAAATTCATACTCTGTAAATGGTTCCAGATCAATGACTGTGGTACTGGTTTGCGGTGGAGCCAGAGCATTTTCATTAGGAGACTCCACAACTGGTTGAGGACTGAGCCATCCACTGCTTTGGAAAATACGAATTTCAGGGGGAAGAAAGTTCCCAGTTGGTTTTAATTTTTTTCTCATGTAAAGTTCATATCTTATAATTATACCTAGAGAAAAAAGTAAGCCAGAAAAATTAATGAATTTAAATGACTTAATAATAACATATTTAATGAGCTATGAATCAATCAATCAAATTCAAAGAAAATACAGCATTAGTAGGTTTTTTTTCTTTTCTGCTATTTTCATCCAAATGCTATACTCCCTGAAACAAAATCACCTTTTTTTTAATTATTTTTAAATTATGAGAAGGAAATTTTTGAGTGACATTTTAATCCTAATATTTTTTTGAACATTTAGAACAGACTACTGGATAGGAAATAAATGTGCATCATGTATGTGTTGGGGTATGAAGCACTACACGATTTAGGCTGGATCATGGAAGTAGTTTAACTATAAGAATAGATTGTAAGAAATCTGAGCGGAGATTTCCAAAATGGTAAAAATGAGAGATATGGCAAAGCCAAGAGATAATTACCATAAAATATATATATTTGGGGCTGTATTCATGCACAGAACTGGAGAGGTTGCTTGGGAGAAACAGCTTCTTTCTTTGTCTTTGGAGAGACCAGGAAATCTGACCAGACATCAAAACAAATATGAGAATATTGCTTAAATCTGCTTGTGTTGGCCATTAAATGCATGTCATGGCTATGGAGTAAACTATGAGGAGTCTAAGACAGACATTGAGGGACAAGTGCTAACAGCAAATATCATGACCTGCATTGTAGAAACTGCTCCTCTAAATGCATAGTCATTCTTGTGCGTGCATTAATCCTGTCTAACCTGGAAGTAGCTGGAAAATAAGATGTTTGAAGTAAAAGCTGAGCTATTCATAGACAGATGCCCATTTTATGAACAGATTAAAATGCTTGTTTTCACACGCACAAATACTTGTGCAAGTAAGTGCAAGTTTACAAAATTCCATTGCACATATATTAAAAGGTAGTGTTTACCAATAAAATCTGTGGCACCACAGAACTATCCTACAACAGCTGTGTTCTCAGTTTCAAAATCCTAAAATATTATTACACAAGTTAGACCAGAAACTCTTGGCAATCACCTAATCCCTAACAAAGTTATACCGGTAATAGAATTAGTTACTGCACATGACGGATGGTTTCAAAAACAGACTTCTCTGTTAATTCTTAGGGTTTTTTCCATAACTGTTATCTGCTTATTTATTTTTTGTCAAGCAGTATCACCACATCTGTCTGAACTAGGCGATCTGGCAAATTAGGAAAAAATTAATTTTACTGTAAATGTTTGATTATAAATCTGATTTTTGCTGCAGCAGATGCCACTGAGGGCTAAATCCTGAACTTCACAGTCAGTGGAGTTCTGGACTCCAAAAGAATAAAACATAGACTCTGAGGATACATTTAATGGCAAGCAGGCAAATTAGGACAATGCCATACTTCATTCTCAGTGTATGTCACATGGATAAGGAACTCTAACCAGATTTGAGAAAACGCTGCTTTTTCCTTGCAAAGACTTTGATTTACAAAAGTAAACACAATGTCCTACCATTTGGTTTCTCAGGTGGTGACCATTCCACAGCCAGTTCTGTAGCGCTGATAGTTTTTACCATCGGTGTGTGTAGCCCTTCTGGAGGAGCTTGTGCAGTAACTACAGTTACTGGTTGGCTCTTTAAGCAGCCTCCACTAGTACAAGCTTGCACAGAAAAAACATACTTTGTAAACGGAATGAGATTCCAAATAATTGCTGAAGTCTTTAAGCCTTCATACTGACCACAAGGCTGAAGATCAACCGAGCTAGTACATGTCAGAATGTATTTCTCTATGGGCCCAGAGTCATTGGAGACACTTGTCCAGTAAAGTAAAACAGAGTGGTGACTGACAGGAAAAACGGGATTTAAATCTAAGCTTCCTATAGGTGTCCCAGATTTTGTTCTGTATGTCACTGAGGCACTTCTTGTAAAACCATGAACGTTGCTGGCCTGGATGTAATAGGAATAGAAGGTATATGGAGCTAACACAGTGTCGGTGAAGGTCTGAACACCTAAAACAAACAGGTGAGAAGAAAACCATATCAGTCTAACACATTAAAAATAATCTTAATTTCTATAGTTAACATCTGTCCAGCCATAATCCAGACATATTTATTCCTGTTTGCATGCTATTCTTGAGATCATTATAAACATTGTAACTTTTCAACTTCTTTTTTTTTTAAACAAGGGGGAAAAAAACCTTCTCTTTACCCCTTTATCCCTTATTATCTTCCACTACACATTGGCATCACTAGAGAAATAATTTTCCACTGAACTTCTCCTAGTTCCTCCTTTAATCAAAAAGAACATTAATACAGTTATCTTCTCATTCCTCTTTTGCTTGAAAATAATTATTTCAAATGTAAATCAGCATCAATATTAGTAAATATAATTTAGAAAAAGCAACTCCAAACCATTGTGTAAATTTTCAGACCTCTGTTTTTTATTAATTTCATAGCATAAGACCAAATATTTCAACTTTGTATGCTTTCACTTCCTCACTTCTACTACAGTGCTTAATAGTCCATTCGTAAAGCATTTGATCTTGGATGAGAAGTGAAACAAAAGTGCCAATAATTACTAAAAAGATATATCCAAAGCCCATATTTACCTTCCTCACCCTTACTTTCCATTACTCTAGATAGCTTTTTAGCATCTTTTTAGTACCCATGGCCATTAATAGCTCCTGCATAGATCCCAGAAGTTACATATCTTAGTCATCACAGCACAATATGAATTTATGCACAACCATACCAAAATATGTTATTTTGCATTAAAAAATAGTGAACATTGAGTAATATATTACATGTCAGAGCATGGATACTCTTAAACTCCTTCAAAGCAAATGGAGAGGACACAGCTATTTCTAAGTTTTCTGCACATCTGCACTGGCAAGCCAGCCCTGAGTACAACTTAAGAGTTTATGAGTATTGCTAGATATTCAACCCTTGACACTGCAGCACAAAAGCAGCACTGTCAGCCCAGTAATTGTTTACAGCACATCAACTCTCTATAGCTATCTCAAACTCATCACTGGAGCCCCACAAGGAGACTGGGTTTTCTTAACTTCAGGCCTTGCAAACCGTGGTTACTTCAGACAAGCCTGGAGAACAACTCTGCCAGCTGAGCAATGGCTATTGAGACTTCTTCATGTGTTAATAGTGAGCAGGGAGAAGATGCAAAAGATTTTGGTCTTGCCGGAAAGATTTAGCTGTTTCTTCTTCCACTTTGGGATCAGCATGGTGTTCCCAAGTGTGAGTGCAAGTACTCAAATATATTGTAGAACTGCTGAGCCCTTTCTGAGCTCCATGGTCACAGCTGCCCTGGCTGAAGTGCTTCTGGGCACAGGAGTGGGTACCAAAGTTGGCAAGAGTCCTCAGAGTGCGACAACCAGTTGCTGTGAAGGACATGACAAGTCGGAGCTCATCATGTGTCCAGTTCCAATTTTGTAGCCAGAGGGAAAAAAAATGGCCACAGAGGCAGCATGAGGCAGCATGGTAGAAACATGGGGGAGCTGCACTTTATCTGATGATAGGATCATCCATTCTATGAGCCTGCAACTCAAAAGAGCCACAGAGAAGGAAAAAAGTGCATAAGGGAAAAAAAAAGAAAATAAGAAATAAAGAAAAAAAACCAGCTAGACTTCTATTAGCAACAGCAAGTACCACAAATCCTTTTGAGATAAGAGTATCCCCAGAGTCAGAGCTAGATTGTACGACCTCTCCCCCATCCCAAACCATGTGATGACCTGCAACCTGATCTATAACCAACAAGCATGCTAGGACCTACATCGAAATCGGGTGTTCTAGAACAAATTCTAGAACTGACAAGTGAGCTAGAGCATGCTCTGGAATCAAAGAGCAAGCAAGACTGAACTAGACCAAAAATATCTAGAACCTGCTCAGAAACCATTAAATGGTTCTGAACCAACAAGCAGCCCTGAACCAACCAGCAAGCTAGAGCTAGACCATGGTCCTGAACCAGCAAACAAGCTAAACCATCATTCCAAAACTAGTAGGTGAGCTAAAACACTAGAAACACATATCTAGAACCAACAAGCAGCCCTGAACCAACCAGCAAGCTAGAGCTAGACCATGGTCCTGAACCAGCAAGCAAGTTAAACCATCATTCCAAGACTAGCAGGTGAGCTAAAACACTAGAAACACACATCTAGAACCAACAAGAAAGATAGGACACTATCTAGCTCCAATGTGCAAGCTAGATTGTGATCTAGAACTGCCTCCCTACCAAACCTCCAACTCCATAATTCATTCCTGCTCTAGAAATGGCTGCACCAACACCACCCAACGAATCCCTGAAACCCAGCTTCTAGAAGAGACCTGGACTTGTAGAAACTCTAGGGACAACCCAGACTGTAGGGCCCCAAGTCTAATGCCAACAGCAAGCATATTACTTTCCCCTTTTCCTACAGAGATTGAAAGAGGCAGATCACACAGAATGCTGATGCTGTCTGCCAGGAAAGTAACCAGCACCATCTCAACATTACAGGAAAGTTCTATTCAGTACTGATGAATACTGACAATGAGTTATGATGGAATTTTTTTTTTCCACAGGAATACAGGCTAACAGGAATATAGGCTAGATAAAATAGGATAAAGCCAAAAGTAAGAAGGTTCTACATTCCTCAGCTGAACAACTCCAACCACACTGTGTTCCCCAGGGTTCAGTATTGGAGCCAGTTCTATTTAATAACTTTACCAATGATGTGGACAAGGGGATCGAGTGCACTCTCAGTCTGCAGACAGCACCAAGTTGGGTGAGAATGCTGATCTCCTGGAAGGTAGGAAGGCCCTGGATGGGCTGGATAGACGGACTGAGGCAAATTAGATGAAGTTCAACACAGCCAAGTGCCAGGTCTTATATTTGTGTCACAACAACCTCATGCAGCACTACAGGTTTGGGGCAGAGTGGCTGGAAAGCTGCCCAGCAGAAAAAGGACCTGGGGGTGTCAACAGCTGAACATGAGCCAGCTGTGTGCAGTTGTACTCTAAGCACATAAGCATTATAAAGGCCACACTATACTGAGAAAAAAATGACATTATCAAAAGTTCTGACAGCATTAACAATGCTTGATATTCAAACACCAGAATATGATTTCACATCGCTAATTAGGGGTATTGCCTGGAAATGTCAAAAACATTTTTTGAAACCAAATCTATGTTTCTAAGAACATAATGTTTTCTTAAATGTGCTTCTTAAACATGCTAATGTCTCATTATACAGCTAAACCCATACAGAATTTTTAACTCTCTACAAAGTATGTAGGTAGTGGCATGAAATAACATTCTCAACAGTGCACTGTTTCAAGTACATTACTAAGCACAGATTTATGACAATGAAGTATAATAGCTTTTCTTTTGAAACTAATTCATATTTTTACTAAAGTTACGCCTTTAAACCAAATTAAAGAATTAGAATATTCTCTATTAGTTCTCCAACTTTTTTTTTTTATGTTTCTTTCCCCCAGTCACTTAATCTCATGCTTACATGGGTGGCACACCTTTCCTCATGGTAGTACTGCAGAGTGCCCAAATTCACAGCATAAGCCACAAAGTAATGAACTGTAACACTGCGGCATGAACCAAAACATAAAAATGTGAGGTGCATTCCAAAGGATCTGTGCTTCCACTGAATAATAGCTCTTTTTTTCTTTTCTCCAGGGTACACACCGACAATTAGAGGGACTCAAATTCTGCAAAACATTAATGCTGCATTGGCAAGAAAATGCAAAAGCTAAAGAAGCTGCTAGAACAGAAATCAAACCTTAGTGGCATTAAACCACACCTGTCTTCTTTAAGAAAAAAAAAACCAAAAAAACAAAACACTTTTGTGCCACATATACATAGAAACAGTATCCAAATCCACCTCCTTTTCTTTGATAAGTAGAGAAATATTACCACAAAATGGCCTTTCCACCTTGGACAGAGTGTCGAATCCTTGAGGACTGCCTTCTGAGGATCCCTTTGCAAGCCTCAACATGAGAGAAGTGGTGCTGCTAAAGACAGATCAGGAGCTACACTGATAGCTTAACAGAAGGTGCTAAAAGTTAGAGGCCACAAAAAGCTTTCCTAACCTGTTAACAGTTTAAAACCAGGAAGATGAAAAAAGAAATTTAAACACATTATGGTCTCTTCTGTTCACCCAAATTCTTCATCTGCGACTTTGACTCTTTTAGATTTTGGAGTCTGTGCATACTTCCAGTGAATACTTCTGGGGAGTCAATTTTAAGTTTTTCAGATTAAAAAGAAAAAAATTATCAGCTATTTTGGGTGACTCTGTGTCAGATTTTACACTAAGGTATTCATTTCTTTCAAGCAAAATTAATAACATAGAACAGTAGCTTTGTAAAGAAAAACAGAAAAATGTATTTGAAACTACAGACGATGATAATGACAGAAATGCAAAATAATTAAGAAACATCACACACACACACAAACATGAAATCTTTGATGTCACCTTACTTACTATAAGGATAGTAGTCTTCAGTTGTATAAATTTCTTCCTCATCCCTATACAGCTGGTAAATAAGCCTGTTAGAATTTGGAGAGTCAGGGGAACTCCATGAAAGATTGATAACAGAGGAATTGACAACTTCTCCTGTAGGAGGAGGTTGCTGGAAAGGAGCTAAAACATATATACAAAAACCGAGGATGTAAAAATGAAGGTAATCAATAATCACACAAATTTAAAGAAAAACGCAAAGAAACTGCTAAGCTTTCTTCACTGAAAAATCACTGAGTAAATGTACAGTAACCAGGCAATACATTAATAGACTAAACCAACCCATCCAAGAGCTCCCCAACAAAGTTTCTTGTCAGAGTACATGAAACAAGTGTATATATAACAAATAAATGACAAATAAACTTAATCCCCCTAACCACCCCAAATTAAAGCAGGTATACCACAGTTTTCCAAACTGTTTTTGTTTTGGTTTTTTGTTGGGTGTTTTTAATGTATTGCAAAACTCTATAAAACAAGAACATATTTATCTGGTCACATTATTGAAGTTTCTAGTTCAATTAGAATTTATTTTTTCAGAGGATTCATTCCATTTTAGCATAGGCCAGGCACAACTTCCTCTAATAGAACAGAAATGGAAACTCCAACTAAATACAAATTTTACTGAATTGTTACAATAACCCTGCTTAATCAAATAACAAAAACATAAAGAGGCAAATTTTGAAGGCAATTCACTTCACTTTTAGTCAATTCACTTCCATTTGTTTCCAATGAAATTGAAACCAATGAGAGCAAGGTATCTAACATTTTAAGAAATCAGCTTGAGATGCTTATTTACCAAAATACTGTTGTGCTATCACCTCCATTAACTTTGGAAAATGTGCTACTTAATTAAACCATTGTAAATAAAGAGAAAAACAAACTTGGAAGTTCACAAGCCAAGTGTCTCACATTTTAAGAAAGAGCATTCAAAGTCTCTTTTGTAATCCAACTGTATGATCACAGTCCTTTCTAAGACAATAGCTAATACTCAGAAATTAAACTTTATATGCGTAGATACACACATGTTCACATAAACATGTGATTTTTACGCTTGGACTGAACTATCTCAAAGGCCCTTTCCAACCTAGAAGATTCTATGATTCTGTATTTATGTTATTATTCAAGCCAGGGCATGAGTTCATATCTTGCTGTAAGACCTCCAGTAATCCAGTAATACTGAGGAAAGTCCTACTCTCCACCCTCAGTACACCATGCATTAGCACACAACAAGACTGGTCTGTTTTGGCAGCTGGTAATTGCTACAGCTTGACACAAAAGGCAGATCGTTCCACTTCCCTATCTTCTTCACTAGGAGAGGGAAAAACAGGGGAGTGTGGACCTAGAGGAAACCATTTTGCTCCAGGGATGAGAATAGCCCAGGGCAACACCAAAATCAGCAAATGGAGTAACTACCAAGAGCTGGATCCAGAACCACCTAATAAGCTCTTCTCCCTACATTAAGTATTATGGGACAACATGAGGATTAGAAACATGCAGATTTTTTTCTCCCTGTTCTTACAAACTATTGTCTTGTTCGTTAGGTGGATATTTGCTTAATATAAACAACTCAACAAAAGTTAATTACCAAAATCTATTCATCCAAGCTAATAGGATACAAGAAGCAAAGAATGAAGTTGCAGACAGAAAATCTCATGAGGATCTCAAGACATACAAGTGATAGATGTAGAGACTTATGCCAAAATCAGTGGGCCACATTACACATGGGTTTTTAATAGAAAATTAAAAAATGAGATGAAGTTCTTCATTTTGAGTAAGATAATGAAAAGCCCTACTACTATTGCAGTCTCTCAGCCAAGAAATAGCAGAAAATCTTCCTACAATTCAATGGATTAACAGAAAACATCATCATCATCTCTCATTAGAGAGCACAGGTTGTTTTGCTCCTCAATCTGGAGCTTTTGAGTTCAGCTCAGTTAGGAAGTGAATGTATGCAAAAGTGTCTACGGAAGTCAAGTCTGAGAATCAAAGGAAAAAAGTCTCTTTGGCATTTTAAAAAATTTCTCTCTGTGTCATACATACTTACAAGACCTGAACAATATTAGAAATTTACCACCATCACTTTCATTCTCCATTCGCAGTCTCAACCAATTGCATTTGCTCCCACCTGTTTGCTGGTTTGCATTTTATATGTGTAAGCAAAGTACTGTATTTCAGATTTTTGAGCAGCATCTAAAATATTGCTAAGTAGAAAAAATGTATATAGGTCGTTTCCTTAAAAAACACTAGTTGGACATTTGCTTCCCTTGGCAAAGACTCATAACCAGTAATGGCATGTGTCAACAAAATACTGTTCTGCAGTGAAAATAACCACAAATATCAAGCTAGGCAAAGGTCCATATCTGTGCAACAAGTTAAAATATTTTGGTATGAATAAGCAAAGGACTGTAATTGCTATATCATTTATGTCCAGAAGAGGACTCCGCTTGTCATTTAGAATACTGCCTGATGTATTTTTATCTAACTAAAATCCATGATATTATTTATCTATGTCATATTATTATTAATCAATTTTAGAGTTGAATTGCTATTGACCTTTATCCAATGTATATCCCAACATAAATAAGTAGGTTGGCTTATGTTTGTAAAGCACTTTGAAGATGAACAGCATCATAAAAGTGCCATGTATTATTATTATTATACATTCAGTTGAAACATCTTACATTTTTTAAAGAAACAACAAGCCAATCAACTGTCTGCACAATGAATAGATACTGTGCCTTCTATGGAAGAGTATGAGGAAAAGCAAAGCAAAACTGTGTCTAAACACTTCCAAAATTTGAGGAAAGCTAAAAAAATCATCTTTGGAAACAAATCAGTCTCTTTACGCTATCCATAATCATAATGCTGTGTATTCTGCAATGCATATTATTTGAAATTTAAACTGACTTACAATGAAATACAAACTAGTACCAAAATGAGAGCTGTGTGTGCTTGAAACACTTTGTGCATGTGCACCTCTGCTTGTAAATCTATAGTTTGCACACATCACAGTGATAAATATCATGTAAATACCCACGCAGAACACAAAGAAAAAAAATACTTTGTTGAAGGAGGATCCAGAAACATACTCCAGAGATAACTTGGGAATGTCTAACCCTTTTGTTGCATTACACGTGGCTACCGGAGGTGACTGTCACTGTATTACCAGTATGGCCATTACTGATTAGGCCTACTGACAGAAATGCCCAGTTAGCATCTACAGACTTCCTCTCTCACTGGTTACCTGACTTCCAAGACTGGGCTATTAACTGGGTACAGCAGAAAGCTGGAGTGTCAAAAAACGTCATACAGCTTTTTCAGAATTAGCTGAGGTCCTTACCCCATGGTTTGGCATTGCATGGCATGATGCCCTCAAAGCCAATTTCTGACCATTGACGCAAAGACAACTTAAAAATTGAATTTTCTTATCACATATACTTTATCCTCTGCTTCTTTAAAATCCCTGCCAGCTTGGAGACTGTGCACTGGTGGGCAAATTTAAACATTTAATTTTGACTAATTACAACATAAAGGGTGAAATTGTGCCACCTCTTTGTATCCAGGCTCACTGCAAGGGCAGAAGTATAGATATTTCATTGCAATTTGTTTCATTACAGTTCAGAGGAGGGCAACTAGGCTGGTGAAGGGACTCAAGCACAAGTCCTGTGAGGGGAGGCTGAGAGAGCTGGGGCTGTTCAGCCTGGAGAAGAGAAGGCTCAGGGGAGACCTCATCACTCTCTACAACTACCTGAAAGGAGGTTGTAGCCAGGTGGGGCTTGGTCTCTTTTACCAGGCAACTATCAGCAAGACAAGAGGGCATGGTCTCAAGTTGTGCCAAGGGAGGTTTAGGTTAGATATTAGAAAGAATTTCTTTACAGAGAGGGTGGTCAGACATTGGAATAGGCTGCCCAGGGAAGTAGTGGATTCTCCGTCCCCAGAGATTTTTTAAAAAAGACTGGATGTGGCACTTAGTGCCATGGTCTAGTAACTGCAGCGGTAGTGGATCAAGGGTTGGACTTGATGATCTCGAAGGTCCCTTCCAACCCAGCTGATTCTATGATTATCTGACCTTCCACATGGCATTAGCCCCACCTCACACATGCCAATTTCTCACACTCTGTTACACCGTATCACATATTTTCCCAAACTAACTGAAAAAAAGGTCCAGGAGGAAAAAGGCAAAGCTACATCGAACTGAGGAGCAGATTTTGAATTAATCACCAGGAAGTGGTTTTCAACAGACCTTCTGTTTTTCAGACCTTCTGAAGGCAGTTCCTCTGCCTTCTGTCAATGGCACCAAAGAGGGCTAAGCTTCAAGTCGTACAAGTATTGTCGTACATTGTATTCATGTGACTGAAAGGTGAACTCTGCATTGGTCACTGCAAAGAACATGGTGGGAAGTGCAATGGAAATATGGATCATTACTTCTCCCTTTGCTTAGACTGCAAGCAGAAAGTGTGTATGACACAAAGCATTCTGTATGTCTCTCTAGAAAACAGTCCTAAGACACAGTAAAAATCACTCAGACTTTAGGGACCAAATCTATGTGGGGCTGTGGGGGGAGTAAAACCCAATTTCAGTACTGCTGACCCAATTCAATACTCACTAAATCAATATAAAACTTTAATCTGAAAGACATGCTTTTAAGACCTAACATCCACTTACTTTTACTGCAGCCAAATAGGTTGTGGACATCCAAATTACTAGCATCAGGAACACAGTTGTCACATTTCAAGCCAGTTACAAATTGTTTACAAACACACTGTCCAGTAACAAGATGACAAGTCCCACTAATGGCTCCTGCAGGATGACAATTACAGTGCTGACATCTATAAACAAAAACAAATCAAGGAAGTGATCAAAACACATTAACACTTCAGTTAAGCACAGCAGGGTTTTGTTTAAAAGATTCTTGGGTAACCTAATTAAAAAATCATAAACAGTTCAGTAGTCTGAAACAGCAGAAAATCTATTAGTCTGATTAAAAAAATTACAGAAACAGTGCCTACTATAAACATTTCAATGCCAGAATAATATTCTAATTTAGATAAAAATGGTTTAGAATTAAAGAGCTTTTATATATATTGATCCATACACAAACTAGATAATAATGTTTGGTAATAACCACATTATGCACTCAGTCCTCCAGCCTTATTCACACAACCTTTCTTGAGAGCTGCAGAGTTCAGTGATACACATGTAACCAGTTTCAGAGGTTTCTGCACAAAATATGCAACCTTCTACCTCAGTGAAAACTAGCCTTTCGTTGGAAAAAAAAAAAATCAATTAATAATTTCTTGTCCACAAAGGCAACTCGAAGTTGAAAAAAATAGCATGCTGTGAATAAAGGAGAATGAATGGTGACCAAAATTGGGAGAAAAAAACCATCAGATTCAATAAGTGACAGGAAACAAAAAACCAGAAATATGAATATTATAACAGAAAGCACCATTTCTTTGCAGCCTGATGGACAAAATTGGAAGTAACTGAAGAGAATAATTAATTAAATGTGCAAATTAAATTATTTTTTAATTAACAAGAACAAAAAATGTAAAAGCATTGCTATCGCACAAATGCCACATTTCAATTCTGTAACTCTCCGTGGCATCAGTAGAATACGTCCAGGATTAATTTATGCTTTGCCTTTTGCATGTGAAACCTCTTGCGATCAACTTGTTCTTCACTTGATACACTATTTCCCCACTGACATCCATTTATAGTGTGGATACTGATGTCAGATTGTGCAAATATTCAAAGACTTGGAACATGTCCGAAATTAAGCAAAGCAAATTACTGCAAACACTGTTACACTACCCACTGCAATACAGACTGCCATTATTAGTCATAACAGAAAGTCAACAATGGTGAATAAAACTTCATACTTTAGATTCTAATTTCACTATATTTTAATTGCTGCGGGCTAAAAGAGTTCTGAAAAACAACAAAGACTAGGAGAAACATAGGACTATACAGTGAAGCTAAAACACACTGGGAAGTCTACACTTTACTCCCCTTGCTCTGAGCTGGAAAAATCCAATTCTCAGGTATAAGCAACCTACTTTCAAAGGAATCTTAAATTACTCCAGATACCGGGTCCCAAGATGATGAATCAGTAAAAAGACCTCAGAGAAATCCAAGGCAGAGACAGTCATGCTATGCCCCCTTTACTCTGCTAACCCTAAGACTAGAGGAGAGTCATTGATTTATATGTGGTGGATTTTCCCTTGGCCAGTTTCACCAGATCTAAGGAAATACATGGTGGCGTCTTTACAAAAGTTACTTTGCCATTTTCCCAGTCATGACCATGTCTTTCTACCTATGTGAAAGCAGAAATAAAAGTGAGTTGTTATAATTTAGATATCAGCTTTATAAGGCAAGAGAGAGAGGAGAGCAAGTTGGAAACTGTTTTCACATTAGGACACTAAAATTCAGGTCAATAATCAGTGAAATAGACATTAAATGTGACAGATTTTTAAACCAGCTTAAGAAAACTCTTCACATACATTTTCTGCCTATCACAGAGCTCACTGTATTAGAGTTCCTTTACTCCACAGCAGCTCGTGCTGTGTGATCTCCTGGGGAATCATTCAACACCCTTAAAAAGGCTGATAAAAGCTAAAGCTGCAAAATAAGCTGCAAATTTGTTTTATGGACTAATATCCTTCTGAGAATAAATAAAATACATTCTCTCTTGGAAACCACTATACTGTAGTTAGCTCTCTTTTACAGTCAAGAGAAAAGGGCAGTTTTTTCAAACTCTATTAAGTCTTTTCATCTGTAGACAGTGTATTCAAATCTCCCTTTAAATAGAGGTTTTGTTTAGAGTATTTTAACATCATGACTAAAAAAACCAGCTTAGTTACAGAAAAAAAACAAAAACAGAATTATTTGCTCAGTAAGACAGTATTTTATTATTTCAAAATTTCATTACATGAAGATTTAGTTGAGGGGGTGTTAACAAAAGTTTCTCAATAGATAAACAGAAAAATACAAGCTTCTCTTACTGTTCTTGTATATTTTTGCACCTCTTAAAAATAAGGCCTTCCTCTTTATTGCACTTTTCATTATCATACACACATGAGACAATCAAACTCACATACATATACAGTCACAGTGACAGTTTTCAGTGCCTGGCGGGGTGGGGCTCTTTCTTTCTGCTTGTTGCATTTTCTTCTAGGAAAAGTGTAGGCTCCCTACTTTCACCTATACTGAATTAGGCTCCAGATCCTGCAAATAACAGCATATATTTCATCATATTCTGCTCCACAGGATTACACATTATCTTTGTGTAATCACATTCATAATTTTCTTAAACTGCAGAAAACCAGAATTGGATTTGTTGTTATGCATAGTTCATGTTTTTCAATCAAGATTAAGGATTCAGTCAATTAATGATTTAAAAATAACAACTAATTCTTTAAAAAAATAAGTAACTTTTAATCACATAAGAAATATTTTCAGCATTCTTGCTAAATGCTATTTTTTCAAAGTACTCCGAGCCAAATATATTTGAGTTTTGTTAAAACAGAATTATATATAATCAAGTAAAACAGACTTTTAAAACATGGAAAGAGAAATGTCATGCCAAGATGAATTGCAATATTGATTTTTTGAGGATAAATGGTTTTTGTAATATTAATATAGAGAAACCTTTATTACATTGACTCTCTAGGTGCAGTTAGAGCCTCTCCAGCAATCTGTTTAAAATCTTCATTTTTCATCCTTATGGGAAAACCTCACTTGCTAAATGGATTTCATAAACAGCAATCTGTCAAGATATATACATATATATAAACAATTTGTGATGTTCATTGACCAGTTCATTATAGTAAACAATACAGAGGTAAAGCTTTACAAATGTGTACTGATGCCCACACCCATTACAGATTGCTCAGACTGCTGCAAATACACAGTATTTGTAATTCTTTAATTGTCAAGAAAATTTTCCTGCTTCATAACCTCAAATGCATTAAGGAACATGGAGTTAATGCTTTATGTCTAAAACACCACAAAATCAATCAGCTCAAATATACATTCCTCAGAGTGGGAGAATTTTAAAGCTTCACAATCTGTGTATCACAATTTTTGCTTCTTTTGTGCTACTGTACAAAGACAGGTACCTCTGCCACTACAGAAGCAGAGGTACATCCTTTTCGTTCTGCAAACACAGAAGCCTTAAAAGACACTTGAAGCAAGGATGGCTTAAATGACTTGGCAACTTCATGGAGAAAGAAAAGGCATATTACCCTTTTAATGAAGATATTTAACAGTTAAAGAAATTTATTAAAATAGATTAATAAACAAAGACTTGCATTATCATTTTCAGTGGATAAACATTTCTGCCTGAGGAACTGAGGTGCATTGTCCAAGTAGATGACAACCAAGGAAGCCAAGCATATGCAACACAGGTTAATCATATTAATGTACTACCAGAGTAGTCTTCAATACTGTCATGAGGATTAACAAGTATTAAAGCATTAAAGCCAACTCTGATTTAAATTCCAGAACTGTAAAAACTTTTATCCTTACAACAAGGTCTGGATCTAGATAATTTATATTTTCAGATTTTAAATTTCAGAAGACAGCTTAAAAAGCAGGTATTTGAAGGCCAATATCTAATTCAGAAAAGCTGTTGCTTAATGCAGACACAAATGTCTCTGTCACCTGCTAAAAATGGGGGGGGAGAATCTATTTCAAGTAACTAAAAAAAGAGTATCATTAATAGTAAGGAAAATATATTTAAAAGGGAACTTTAATATTACACAGATTTTATAACTTACCATTAGAAATGACAGGAAGTGAAAATAGGAAGTCCTTATTCCTACAGATTACTTTATGACCATTAGTAGATGCCTCTATGACCCGAAACAGTAAAAAATAATTTTAAAAATCTCTAATGAGTGACAGTAATATAAAAGTTAAAGTGAAAAATCTGCAGAATAATGTCAAATATATGCAAGATGACACTTATAATCACTGCCTAAAAGCTTGTCTACCCCACACTAGCAGGGGGAAAGGAGCACAGGAAGAGGAATATTGTACAGATTTTGCTTCTCCCTGTGCTGTCTGGTTTGGGGTTTATAAAGGCAAAATTACAAAATACAGCCAAACAACATCATCAGTCTGCATGAAAATATGATAGCAATAGAGCTGTACAATCTTTCTGGACAATATTTAAAAGGAAATTGAGATTGTGAGGATTAAGCAAGAAAGATGATCCTGGAAAAGAAAGATAGGGCAATAGTTGGAAGAACAGTGCAGTACCTATAGATATGTTTTGCCCCTTACATTGCAGGGAATGTATCCATATAATTCCAATGTACCTAGAGGCCCCAGGCTACATTTGATAAACAATTTACCCTGTAGCACATAACAAAATGTTGAAAAAGAATACACTGCTTCAGAAAAACAGATTTTTAAGAGTAAAGGTGCAGTGAGTATTTGTATTGTTATCAAAAGAAATTTGGAAACACAGGGATATACGTAGTTTTTCCTTTTTTTCCCCAACTAAAATATCTTCCTGAAATATATAAAAGCAATCATTGGTTATAAGAATGGCACATTACCTGCATTTTAATCATCAAAAATTAACACTTCAGAAAACAACACACCTTACTGAAGATGCAGAGAAAACGTAAAGAAACAATTACCAAATTGCTATAACATTAGAAAACATTAGTCTTATACAGCTTTCATGCTGTTTCTACCTAAATCTGTGGCAAAATTTCTATTTTCTACAGCTCATGGGAGCACAGACAATTGTATAACATATCACACGTAAATCAGAGGGCACACATGAACTCAAAGGATTAAGGTAACTAGAACACATCTTTTCATTGTCACTAAATCTTTGACCAAATTACTATCATAAAAATGTAACAAGGAGATTGTAAGTGACCTGTAAAAAAAGAAACACTCACCTTCCTGTTTCAGAGTCAAATCCAAAATAAAGTTCTTTGCAGCGTTCGCATGTCTGTCCTGTTACAGAGGCATCTTGGCAACTACATTGGCCAGTTAGTTTATCACAGATCTGATTCACTGAACCAGCTATGTGGCACAGGCATGGCAGACAGCCAGTGACACTGGATGGAGAAAAATAAAAACCTGGAAAATAAAGGGATTTTGAGAATAGACGATACGCAAAAAGTGAACACAGTAAGATTATTATCAACTTATCTAAAATCAGGAATGAAACAACAGAATCAAAGCTTAGGTAACACATGTGTCGACTCAAATAAAGCACTGTAGTCTTCCTCCACAGCTGAGCTTCTAGATTTTCTCATTGGCACTTTGCAAAGCTATTATTCATTCTCTATTTGCCAAGTCCGATTTTTTATTCTCTCTATACTTTTAGACAGAGCAAATGCAAAATAGGGGGAGTACATTAATGTGTTTACGGGGAAAGTAAAGACCCAAGGACATGAGAGGTACTAATGAATGCACCACTAGCAGTAGAAACATAAAAAATAACATATGAGAACAGATATTTGTCCCTTTTAGTCTGAGATCTCATCTCCGAAAATGGCCAGCTGCAAACCATAAGAAATGCAAATGTTTTCTCAAGAAAGTCTCTTAAATCTTTCTCAACTAATGGTTGGCTTAATCCTTGAAACACTATCGTGTTTCTTCGGAAAAACTCCATTTGATGAGTATTCCCAGGTCTATGTAAAATTTGTATTTTAGTCGTCTGTAACACAGAGCTTGTATCGAACACAAATACTTTTATTGAAACTGAAAAACTGATTATAAAAAATTACTTATCTGCTCTTAAAAAGCTTTCATTCTGAATCCTATCCTTTTCTCCCTGCATTATTTCCAATTATGAACCGGAGTATTCACTTCACCTTCCCCACAGTATATTTGGTATGCTTCTGCTATGCTATCTTTCATCCTACTGCCCTCGCAAGCTATCTTTATCTATGCCTTGAGCACATTACTGATAAATACAGTTTATAGATAGAGTTTATACAGCTCTAATCTGGTCATTGAAGAACTTACTCATTATTCACAGCCTCACCTGAAATTTCCAACGAGAGAGCTTTTACACACATTGTTTTAATGATGCTGTACCACTTGCATAACCTATTTTGCTATGTATGGACTTATTCCATTCTTAGTAATTTCTTTCTGATCAGTAGACAATTCAAGCAATGGCATACCAGTAAAATATATTATTTCATAAGTTTCCCAAATTATTTTCTACTTTTACCTGATTAGTAATAAATATTCTACTGGCTTTTTCCCACAAATTGTTTTGCTTTTTTTTTCCCCTCATCCCTTTGGAGTGGTATAATATATCAACAAATGTAGCAAAGCATGAGAGCTCTGCAAAGGATACTGGTGACATGGTATTAACAGGCTCTAGTCAAAAACAAGTACCTATCTTGGAAAATGAAGCCTAAGATAGGGCCATTGATACAAGTTTCTATCTGTCAGATGGTTACTATTAATTTTTATTGTACAACTTTGATAGAAAAATTTCAGCTGTTACTGAGATACACAGTATTCTCAGGCACTTGCCCTTTCCTTTCTCCAGGTAAAGTTCAATCAGTAGTTTCTTAGTCATGTTCTCAGTTACTGAATATTATTTGCTGTCCAATAACTTCTTGATGTCCTGCTTTATAATAAAGAGCCCAAAATTATATTGTAACATGTCATATTGCCCAAGGCCTTATTATTTGTCTTACAAGAGATAGCTCTATATATACACCCCTAGGGTGGTATTCTCTGTCTTTGCAGCAGTGTTGCACTGTGAGCTCATATCCAAATAGCAGAGGAACTAAACAAATTGAAAACATTAGAATTTTACTGCTCAAATCTTTGTTCAAATTTAGCCTCTGGTCCTCAGTGAGATAAATCTCAAGTGGACAGTGAAGTGATATCAGTCTCCAGTTAACATACATTCGCATCATAAAAAACCATGCTGTTGGCACTTTATTCCAGAGAGGCCCCAAACTGAGCCACCACAGAGACCAAATAGCTTGAAGTTATTAGTGAGGCAGCATGTATTATCTCATACTGCAGTTGTCTGCACAGTGCAGTGCCCATCCTGTGCATAAATAGAGGAGACCATTTCCCAGCAATGTCACTCTCGAGCACAATGAACGACTCCACTCACAGAACGTAACACAAAGGTAGCAAACAAGTTTAAGCCTGGACTCATGCAGAAGGTCAAAGCATTTCTTCAGAACCCAATTTATAGTTGCAGTAAATGATAAGCACTCAGGCTAAACCAGATCATTGTCCACCTGAAATTTTGCATGAAACTATGATTCTATGATTCTATTCTATGATTTCTAAGAAAAGACTATAATGGGTAAATAAGCACATCTCTAGAAAATAAATTAATTCTGCCTGAGCAGGATCGATCACTGCAGCATATATTGCTTTTTTCATAAGAGTGAAATTCATAATTATAAAGAATCTATACCTTAAGGTTAAACATCCTGGCTCTCCTAACGTCATACTGCCTAAACCACTGTAGAGCAGTGAAGGATTTGGTATGATATTTTTATAATAATCTTTCAGAAATGCTCTAAAAGTTAACTAATTTTCTGGATACTACCACATTTTTTTTTTCAGAAGTATCAGGTAAAACTTTTTTTAAAAGAAAAAGGGATTGGAAAAAATGAGAGCAATCTCCTCCCCCAACTAATTTATATGTAAATTAACATGATTAATGTAGACAAAAAGAGAAGAGACATGAGATTACAAATTCATGCTGTTTGTCATAACCGTTACTATTATTATTTACTTCCACCACCTAGAATTTGGCAGGAAAGACTAAGAAACAACTTAATGCAAGCTTAATTTACAGCAAGGTTAGAAGGGCTCATAAAAGTTGCTTTATGAAGGATCCACTATTGTACAATAGAACTAATTTTCAATTTTAAGACAGCCACTGCAAATCTCTACAAGATCTATGTATATAACTAGTATTATGCTTATTCTTTTTCAGATTTTTTCCAATTCAACCATAACTGATCACATTTGTCAATCAAGCATACTCTTCATAAGGAAGAATGAAAGTCGTAGCAAAGTATTCAGTTTCCTTTTTTAATAATCCTCTTACTGTTTCTCCTACTGTACAGAAAAGGAACACACAAACAATTCCTTAGCACTTTTACATGCTTACCAACTGTGGCAATAACGCTCATTTCTTAACCACAGACCATGCTTCAAAATGCACATTTAACCACACCAACAATATTGTCACAATGTAATTCACATTTTTCTGGCCAAGAGAGGTAGTATGTACACAAAAACTCAGCACTGGTGCCCAGACACACATCCTACATGCTAGCTTATATCTTTTCCATACTACGTAGCACTCTATAAAAACCTGTGGTCACCAAGTAAAGAACTTAAAATATTACTTTTCTTACAGCTTTTCTGCTCTCATAACAGGATCCAAGACCTGTTGAATAGGATCTGTATGGCACAAATCCCAGTCGGCATGGCAACACAGTTCCAGAATGAGACAGGGACAAACTGCTCACAACAATTTGGGGGCAAGAAAGATCCTGCCTCAATCACTGCAATTGAAGAATCTTGAAAGCAAGTTTATATACAAGGCAAAACTGCTCTTTCATTTTGTTTCATGTAGAATCAAGTGTCCCTCACTTTCCATACACCTTTAGTTTAAAAAAAAATAAAATTTAAATGTACAGCAATCTACCAAAATGTTATTTGCATGAGAACAAACTGGAAGATGACAAGTCATGGATACAGCCTAATAGGTTAAAGACATAGCTGAAGGCTCCAAAAAGAGTTTTAAGGAAAAAGATCTCATTATAAAACAATTTCCCAAAACTACATCCAGTTTGAAGTTTTCTCCATTGGCAACTCTTCCTGCATTAAGATTTTGGCAACTTTTGGAAACCTCTCACATTTTATCAAAGCACATAAAAATATGCTACAATGGGATGTTATTTTAAATACTACTACCTAAAACAGACTTACAATTACACAGAATAAGAAAATAAAATACATATAACCTGTATTCCACTAAGAAAACTTGCATCACATAGTTGAAATGTCCCAACACACTAACAAGTCTCTAGCATGTTTCTAGGGCTGCCAGTATTAACTAATTAGTTGTGTGCTTTAATTAGATTGTATTGGCTACATATACACTTGGAATACATTTTCTTATCTTTGCTCCAAGACAAAGCCATAGGACATGTTTACAGTACTCGAAGTCAATTAAGATCTTCCATACTTCTATATGGAAGATTTCTTATACTCTCCTCTGTTTTATAGAAAAGTCTCTTTTGGAACATACTAATAAAGAGTATTTATATAAGAGTTAGATATATTAAACATCTAAATGAGCTCACACTAGGATCAACACTAAAATAGCAAAAATAGTGCAGTTTGCTGTGCTACACTAGGATTAATACAGCACTTTTACAATGATAAGAACTTACACTTTCACCTGCAGCAGAGAGTTCAGCGTTCAGTACATATATGCTTATAGTTATTAGTTAGAAAATTTAAAAACAATCCTTACAAAAATACGTTTAAAATTATTTTTCTTTTTAATAGGAACTATTGTGGAAGTATTCCTTTGAGTGCCATGCAAGCTTTTTTACAAACCAGTCTGTTCGTACTATCAATTAAACCTTTTTAAACCATTTAGTTCTGCATAAACCCTGGCCTTTCTTTTTCAAGGACAAGGGCGGTCACTGACTCGGGAAGCCTTGACATCACTCCTCTGCCGATCTCTGATTAAGTGGCTGCTACAGAGGGTTAACAGGTCAAATAGCACTGGAGGAGGAACTAAGAAAAACAGAATGCTGCCTTATTTATTAGTATATGTACCTAAAATAATTTAAATGAAAGCATTTTAAAAAATACTTAATGGAGGTTAAGCAGCTTTTTTAACCTCTGTTCAAATTATTGAATGGCATATTAAAACCAATGGAGCTATAATGTACCTTTTAATGTGACCTGCTACTTGAATAAATTGCATATGTATTTAACTTGAACTAAATCTATCTGCTTAATATTATTATGAAGGGTAGGTTAATATTATCTATAGTTTCACTTTACCCACCTACTTTTTAAAACAAAAACATTGAAATATAACTACAGTTTCCCACCTATAATGAACATTTAAACTTTGTTTACAATAATATAGTATAAAATCTTGAACTGATATGTAGCAACTGCAATATCACCTACTTGCAGGGCCAAACTGTAAGCAGTCCTTGTGAAAGCCAGCATATCCTCAACACAGCAAGGCAGGTGAATGCTCCCTAAGTGGCACGTTTGCCAGCCTCATCAAAGTTTAAGCAACCATCTCTGTGCTTCCCACCATGCTCAGCTTTATGCATGAAGTGCCCTTCCTGAAGAGATTGCACTCTGCCTTCCAAATTCACATTTTTCATTATGAGGATAGCTGCTGTTCATTAAATTATGCCAATTTATCTCTCATTGAGTGAATGGGCCACGATTATTTGTCTATTTTCTCAATATCTAGAACTAGCCTAGCCTTATTTTGAACATGTTGAAAAAACACTAATAATACAAATTATACAAGCTCTGGAAATAGAATAAATATTTGATGGTGATCAGGACATTAATACTTCCTGCTCACTCACACAGTTAGGAAGAAATGGAAACACAATAACATATATACATCAGAGATGTCAGATATGAAGCTGTCTAAACACATACTAAAAACTGTAGGAACTACTATGATAACTAAAAAAGCAAAACTTACTACATCAAACAAATTGTCTTCCAATTTCCTTACCTGGTTTACACTCATTACACCTTCTCCCCTGGCGCTGAGGCAAACAGACACACTGTCCAGAAACGGGGTCACAAACTGTTCCTGCCAATGTGCCCAGAGCGTCACAGTCACAACGCTGGCAGCCGAGGAGGTTGCTCATGCTGAGGTTGTACGTATGAAGCATGCACTGACTGCACTGAAGGCCAGTTACACCAGCTTTGCAAGGACACTGTCCTGTTGATTTGTCACAAAGCAGAGAGCCATTCACTGTACCTGCCTTATCACAGTTACACGGCAGACAAACAAAGGAATGATTCTTCTGTACTTTGCGGTAGCCATCCAGGCATTGGTCGCATTGTCTTCCTCCAATATTTGGTTTACACGCACACTGCCCTGTCGTTGCATCGCACACAGTTCCAGAAAACGACCCCGCAGCATTACATTCACAAGCCTTACAACCAGTTACATCCAGCCCATAAAAGTTGTCCATGCAGGTGTCACAGTGAAGTCCTTTCACTCGTTCTTTACAATTGCACTGCCCGGAGAGAGGGCTGCAGAATTGGTTCACTGAGCCGTGGCTGTTGCACCAACAAGGCTCGCATCCATCTTCATTAGCATATCTGAGAGCCTTAAATCCAAAATTGCAACTATCACACCTAAGACCTGGAAGGAGAAAAAGGTATTAATAATAAAAAAAAGGAAAAAGCTGAAAAGCTATTAATTTCAGTTTTTAAAAAGGGTAAGTATACTATACTTTAGTGTAAATAAAAAAGAGAAAAGAAGGACTAATATTCTTCACCAGCATAATTAACAGGAGTGACAGGGCTGCACCAATCAATTGAATAACTGTGGCATCCCAAAAATCTGTTTACTTTTCCAATTTGTTTCAGAAGTAATGCATTTCTGTTGGCCTCTCAATACAATTTAAGATACTTCTGCCAGAGATTCTTTGTAACATTTCTAAGACAAACTAGAATTAATCTCTTTGTCCCCCAGAACAGCACTTGTTGCACAATCAATGCTTATGTGAACTCTTCACCCTATATTGTAGAAATGCAATACACAGGGAATTGCACTGGGCTCTAAATATGTTCTGATAATAGATTTATATATTGTATTAAAAACATTAAATATACTCTAGGACAGCACAAATTAGACTAATTACAACAAATGATTTACTTAACACCATACTTCAGTTTTACCATTGATTACATTTATGTTAGTGTTTACTGTTAGCCCTTACTGAAAGCAGAAAATGTTTTCCATAATCCAAAATGAAATATTTTTATCTAAATTATGATTAAGTTAACTCCTGCAATACATTAAAATCTAAACTGGTTTTGTCATGCTTCATCCTGTAGTTTTATTAGCTTTGTTTTCAAAGTCAATGCTTGCTTTATCCCTGCCCCAAGGGATGGCATTTATATGTTAGTTTATAAAATGTGCATTACAAGAAAGCAAACTAGATTATTATATGAAAAATGCAAATTCAGCTATGTATTTCCCCTTGCAATGGGAAAATCCTTCACTATGAAGCTATCACTTGATTGCTACACATAGGAAAATATAAACACAATGTTCCAGCAAGGCATCGTCATCATTTAAAAAATACAAAACCATACAAAAATGCATCTAGCAACTTAAATGTAGAAATATAAAACTAAAAATGGTAGGGAATGCATTATATATATGGATAAAACTCAAAAACTCCAACAGAAGGCAAGTTCCTTTAACAGTGATGAATGACTCACCTAAGGCATATCATTTAATTTCAATAAGGAAAATAAAAAAGGACCACTATTGCTGCAAATTTTAAAAATAACTGTATTGTTAACAAGAATTATGACTCATTTTGAACTATTAAAATTGGTCTACATGGATTCATATCATATCAGTTTTAAAAATATGCGCAGTGCTTATTTGAATATGCCATACATATTCCTGACAGGTAATCTATTCCTAACGATACTGAGGAAGGCCTACAGGGCATCACATTCAATGTTAACAAGTACAGGGGAGTTAGCACGCTTGGCATTTAATTCACATTCTTCTACCTTTTTATTCTAGATGAATGACCTACTTTAATAAAATTATTGGTGCTAATGTATTTTACTGGTGATAGAATCATTAGTAAGATTTAACAGTTGTGTTAACTCTAACAGTTCATGTTTCATAACACTGCAGTCCACAGTTGCATTTTTCTGTTATCATGTTTGCTTAAATAGATAAAAATGGCAATAGACAGATTGCTCTAAAAACCAATTTAGAAATCCAAAGAGGAAAGCTCTCTGTTAAAGTTTGCTGCACACGTTTCAATATACCAAAGCTTATTTACAATTGGTTTGGAAAACAAAGAGAATCTAGTCTGGAAAGAATTAGGTTTTTATCCTGCGAACAAACACTTGCATAAATACAGCCCTCACCATTGTTACAGGTAAGTACAGAAAGCATAGGTTTACACATTTTTCTTATAACTATTTCAGTGAAAATAAAAACAATTCTTACTGTTTTCATCAAGGGAATAAAATGTTTATTAATATATAGACAACCAAATATGTGAGAACCAGACTGCATTTCTTGTCTGCCAAATTGCCACTGAGTTAAGAGAGGGTTTCGCAGGTGCAAATACGAAATGTGAGCAAAGAATATATAATTAAGAATGCTCTGAAGTCCTTTTTCTTGAAAAGAGAGTGGGTTTAAGATGCACAGAGGTTATTTTTTACTCTTAGCACCCTTTTTATTGCATGAAAAGCATAGCATTCCACAGGAAAAAGGACTGAAATTGTTCAGCCTTCTATCTATTTAGAGCTGTTTCCGTTATTTGTTGTTATTCTGAATTTACTTCTTTCTTCTAATTTCCAAAAGAAACAAAGACTCACAATATTACAAATGAGTCAACATTCACAAATGATGGTATATAAATATCAAGTATACTAACGTGTGCTTAAACATTATTAATGCAACCTAGAACCATGCTTAGGCTGAATAAAAAATAAATTACTAATTCTGTTAGTAACAAAGCAGAAAAGAATTTTTTCTTTTTGAGACACATGTATAGTCTGAGACATGTACAGTTACCATGCAAGGCTCACTTTATCAGGAAATTCTCCTTGCATAATATTCCCATACATCAACATTTCAAAGTGTATTATATATACTGTGTATTTTGGGCACTTGATAAATTTTGTCCTTATGTGGCTGTGGCTCCCCTCAAATATGCTGGAAGTAATAAATTGCTATAATCAAATCTAATTTCTGAAAAATACCTGTGGGAGTAACAAACAAAAAAGCACGTCTTGTAAAAAAAATGATAAATAACACAGAAGGTAGCAGTTTATTATAATCAGCTTGGCATTGAATTACAAAATTAAAATTATGTGGCCCTTGATAACTAACCCTAGCTATGTACATGATCTGTGGAATTATGTTGACTTATTTTGCATTTCATAGGAACAGTTCAAAGAAATATAATAGAAAAAAATTGATAGATTTATCACAAAGGACCCTGTAGCACAGAATATTTTGAGAAAAAAATCCATTTATTTTGGTCTATTAAGAAAACTAGCATGGAAACGATTTGCTTAGAAGTCATTAAGCATAAAACATTTTGAAAAAGTGTTAATTTCCTAAAAGAAACATCTATGCAGTAAGCAAATTACATTATTTTTGTGACTTATTAGTATGGAACCATGTAAGCTAATGTAGCTATGCCATAAAGAAACTTCTAAAGGGTTGATTAAACTAAGCTTCAAGCTGTAGCTTGATAGAATTATTAAATTAATAATTTTTCAACAGTTAATTTCATTCACTTTTATAATCTGCCTTCAGCAAAGAAGTTTTCTATACCTTTCATTTAGAAATCAAGTGTGTTTTATTTCCAAGGAAAACAAGAAAAATGGCTCCGAACTCTTGCATTACACATACCAATAACATTTGCTTTGCACTTGCACTGTCCTGAATTTTGGTGACAGGTAATATCTCCATTGACTGTCCCAGAGGTATTACAGTTACAGGGACTGCAGCCATCAGGGTTTGACTGTTGCAGATTGTAGAATCCTTCCTGGCACTGATTGCATTGTCTGCCAGACACATGTCTCTTACAATTACACTGGCCTCCAATCTAGAAAGATACAAAATATTATAGAGTGATGAACATTATCTATTTTTAGATGATACATTCATTAGCAACAAGAACGGGAGTATGAGCTGGGGAGGAGAAAATTTTAAATGGAACAGAAAAAAAATATAAGTCTGTGTAACACTTTTTTAATTTGTTGAGAGAGAGGAAAAAAGATAAATATTGAACAGAGTGTAACTATTCGCCTTTTAAATAGAGTTTAAAAAGTCCTGTTCTTTCAAAACAGAAGGGAAAAATAACTGAATAAACAATGCAACCCTATTTGCCATCTGGACAGAGAATCTGCAAAGAACATTTACAAAATTGCATTGTATAAATGGTGACATATTAAACCATATAGTACTTTTTTGAATCACAGTTACTGCAAAGAACTGCCATCTTCAAAGGTCAAGTTTTGCAATTTTTGTTCTGACCATATGCTTCTTTATTTTAGTGAAAACGTTAGTTAAGTAAGAATGAAGGACAGTTGAAAATTTTCATTTCTTATTACTCATCTAAGTTAAATTTTCTCTTCCTTTACTGAAGGATGTGATCCAACAGCTCAGTATCAGAAACCCTCTCCCTCTTTTCATGCTTCAGCTGGTGTTCAAAATACTCCACTTCTGTGGAGGTATATAAAGGTCTTCACCTACTCCCTAAATAGGTAGCATTGCTATTCAGAAGGAGTTGACACATCCTATGTTATTCCTGGACCATGACCCAGGAGTATGAGTCTCACATCTTGTGCAAAATTAAAGGGTTCCTGAAAAGCTACCTCAATGTCTGAAAGCCAGAAAAAAACCCCAAACCAACAATCTCTACATTCATCAATTTCCAATTTGGTGGGAAAACCGACCACAGGAAAAGGGCAATGGCACAGGGATGGAGAAACTAATGAAAGGCATCAGTTAATGCACAACACAGACAAAAACCAGCAAGTCAAAGCGCACCAGGATGCAGGAGATGTGAAATGGCAAAAGGTTTGGGATTCATCATAAAGGAACAAAAACTAACTTTTCTAACTCAAGTGTTCTGGAAAATGCAGATGGCAGCAAACTAATAAACTCTATAAGTAATTTTCTTTGGGTCAGTGTATTTTTTTTCCGCACAAATATTTCTAAATATGAAAAAGTACAGTGATTCAAAAATCGCATTCATCTACGACATCAACAGCTGTAGTTCAATGTACTTTGCTTTTAAATGGTTACCAGAACAAAAATTTCTCTTAATGGTTGCCTTTTTCATCTTTAATCTATAAGTCAAGCAAAGCTGAAAGAAAGGAGAGACAAAGCTACTTGGAAGTTCCACTTAAAATAAATGTTATTATCACACATTCAATTCTACAATGAAGCTCTAAGCTTGGTTAATACAAGACAAAATAGAGTATTTCAACATCTAATAGTAAATTCTCAGTGCAGAAAATACTGAAAGTTAGAGAAGCATGTACTCCTACCCCTTCCTCATAAAAGGATTCTGTAGTCCATAAAATCTCTTCAATATGATTTAATGATAGAGATCTATTACCGATTTATCAGCCATGTTTTTCAGGAAGATGAAGATACGAAAAAGGCAAGACAATATTTTTTTAATAAAAGACAAGACAACAGCAACTACAAAAAGAGTTAAAAGACCACAATAGCAGAAAACACAGCAACAAGGATTTTTAAGTTAATTCCCTTTTAGACTGGATTTGATCTAGATATTTAGGGTATTATAAGAGACCCAGTCATGCATCACAGCCATTCATCAGAGGACTCACATGTGAAAAGAAACTCTGAGTTTAATCCTAAATGAAAAAAACCCCCTAGTTTAATACATAACTGCAAAAGAAATATTTTGTGCTAGTGACCACAGAATACTCAGATTACACAATAGCGCTCAACTCATACTTTAAAAGTCTTTAAAGTTACTCCAAACGCTACCACAGGAAGGAAAGCATTACATGCAAAAATTCATCTTCAATCAGTGAAAAATGGATCAAAACAAGGAAGTTAAATAAGATAGGATAACCAATACCAAATTTTAAAACTAGAATAGGGCAATACAAAAATGAGCTTTTAAAACAAGCAACATGCCTAAAGCATGAAGGAAACAAAAGGTTTTTTAAATGTCAGAAGCAAAGGAAGACTACTAGAGAATCACTGTGCAGAATAAATAATTAAGTAGTATGATTAGCAGACTCAGAGTGGACATCAGAACTTTTCACTAAAAGGAAAGTGCAGCATCAGTAACAGGCTTCTCAGAGGGGATGTGGAATTTCTGTCCCCAAAGGTACCAAGACTTACTCAGACAAAATCATGACTGACTGGATCTATCACTGACAACAATTCTGCTTTGAGCTGAAGCAGATCACCAACTAATGCTTTTATAATTATGTGTAGCATTCAGGAAAGAGAACCACAACAGAGATTGCAAAGAAAGAATTTAATAGCTTTTCACTATGAAAGAAGTGCTACCTTTCTATATTAGGAATGATTTTTAAGACTGGTTTGAAACCAAAATGTCAGAAGGAAAATATTTTAGCAAAATCTTATTGTCAAAAAGTGACTAAACATGAAACTAAAGTTCTAGATGAACCAAAATATAAAATTACTGAGATATTACTTGCTTAAATGAGTATCCACAAAAGAGAAATAAAATTATAAAAGTTACATTAATCTCCTTAAAAGGCTGTAAGGAAGTTTCCAAACAATCTAATAGCCTTTTTTTGTATTATTATTCTGTATTCTATTAGAAATTAAAACACGTTTGATATATTGAAGAAGATTGGTATTTTTTCCAAAGAAAAATCATGCTTCATGATTCTACTGCATTTCTTCAAGTCAACAACATCTGGAAATATCATATATACTGAACCAAATGGATGATCAAAAATTCAAATTAATTTCTACATCAAGAAGTACAAACTTTATGCCTGGGAAAATCAATGCTGACTATTGGTAGACAGTAATGAGTCCAAAATTAGCTATTTCCACTCAAGAAAGGAGATGTTAAAGCTGTTTCATTTCCCCTACAAAAAAATTGAAAGCTCTGAGTCTCTTAAAAAGGTGACAGGAATACTGGAGTTATTAGGAAAAGAACTGAAAGGTATACAGAAAATTTCACTGTGTAATAAAAATCCATTATGTATCAACCCTTTGCATAATTTGTATATCTGGGTACCCTCTCTAAAGTAAAAGAGGTTACAGAGTGAGTAGAATAAGCAAAGATACAAACAAAAAGAGACTGAAGACTTTTCAGTTTGGAAAGAGATGACTAAGATGAAGGGAATACATGGCTATAAAATCATGAATGGCTTACAGAACGAATATTCATTATTTCTCACTTATAAGGTAGAACATCCAGGAAATCATCAGAAAGTAAACTAAAAAAAATGAAAGCGTATACAGTACAAGTGTGTGGAAAAATACACTTTTTTGGAACTGCATTAAAAAATAAGTTAGGTTAATTCCATATGTGGATGCCAAACATGGCCACCCAGATGAAAACCCTGAGTTTGTCTCAGGAAGTCCCAAACCCATAAACAACTGGAATCTAGAAAAGTATATCACAGAAAGATCATGCTTATGGTAACTATCAGAGAGGATACTGTGCTAGATGAGTCTCATTTCATCCAATATAGCTGTTCTTATCCTGAATACATGGAAATCCAAGGCTAATTGTGATCAAACAGTAGCTCTTTCCTGATGCAACATGTGAAATGTGTAGATTGCTAAGTGCTAAGAGGAGCAAAGAAACTAGTATGTTCAGCATAATTTCGTGTCAAGCTATTACAAGAAGCAGTAATTTTCATCACATTCGGTTGCAGAAAATGTATGTCCCCAAGCTTTCTCTTAATAGCTTAAAAAAAAATTATGCTTGAAGAATAAATGTAACTCTTCAAATGAGGGAGAAATGTCTGGTTGTCTGGTCAACTGAAAAATTCAAATTTTCCCAGGATCCAGCCAACAAAACCATTTGGAGATCTTCACATACAAATAATAATAATAGGGCTTAATTTGGGGAAAGTTTGGCTTAAAAATGGGAAATATAGAAAAATAGTATCTTTCATTTCTCTTACAGGCAGAGAGAGAGAAGCACCAAAATAGTCTAGGAAATGCTTGGCAATGAATACTCTTACAAAGAAGTTGTACAAGCTGACAAATATTTATAATGCCACAGAAACAGGTACCACAGGTTAAAACATGGAAATCTACAACAAAATGGGTAGAATAAGCCATTTCTGTAACGTATTTTTATGTATTCTACACAAAAATCTAACTGAATTATGAAACTAAGTGATTACTGTTATCACTATTATTATTTCTGTAAACCCAGCTTACTCTGGAAACTATTATATCAGTGAGAATATTGGTAGCAATTAATATCTAAAGATTTTGTTAACCAGGATTTCATCGGTTGTGTACTGGAGATATTACTAAACCTTCCCCCTTCTCCCTCTGATTCAAAGGCTATCTGTCATTTAAAGAAAAATATTTTATTTATGCTGATTATAGAAGAGCAGAAAGCAATCTGTTCTCCTGTTGCTTATGTCTGAGAAGCCTGGTTCTGATCCAAACAGTAAGCAGACAGAAACAGCCTGTGTATTAATATTACCATCTTGGTACTAAATCACTTATGGAAAATATCTGTCTAGATGGGTTACTATGAAAATGAGCCTAGCCAAGCATTACTACCAAGTGGTGGTGTATCTTGGGACCTCATAATTACAATTGTTATTTGATACAGAAAATCACTGATGCTGAGTTGACATATATCCCTTGTGCCATTTATAATTTAGGTATGAAATACACATTAGTCCTATATCCTTGAATGTAAACAGTTACAAAACCTATGCAAGAAACCTCCTCCTGCACAAATCACAGCTGCAGCATCATTGTCCTTAATGAGGAAGTTGACTAGTTAAGGTTTCTGAATTTCAGATATACTGAGCAGTTCACACTGCTTTAGACTCTAGTGATACCGATTTTTAGTTGGAGAACACTTTAATCTAACACATCACATCTAGAAACACAAATTCCAAGAGGTGCCTGTTCAGGAACTCTCCCGATGTCCAGTTACTAAACTGATAGGAGGACTTAAAAATAGATTTAAGCACCCAGGACAAAGGTTGACATATTCCAAAGAATTGTCTCAATTTTTGTTTTGAGTACCATAAAATATTTATTTAGCCACATCAGTCATCTAGTGACGTATCACAGTATCAGAAACATAACTTCTGACTACTTAGGTTCTTGTTGACCGTATATATTCTTAAAGTATAAAATGGAGTTTTGTAAAAAAATAGGTAGCCTAAGTTTTTCTGAAAGTTAAAACCATCTTTTTCCCCTAGATATGCCTATAATTTCAAATTGTTATTCTTTGGTATCTGTAATAGAAGCAACATACTGCCAGAAAAGTAACCAGAAAGTCTCTCCAATTCCAGAGAATAAATATGAGATGAGCCTTGATGTTACTAAAAAAAAGAGTAATGCTGACACCTTTCTAAGTTTCTTTCACCAAAGTTAACTTCCAGTTTTGAAGCCCAAAACACATGACAAAAATAATCTTTTGTGATTGGCTGAGTCATTATGATTTCAATTATTTACCAGGGCAGAAGCACCTTCCCTTGACCCACTGAAAATGCAAGTTTTAGGGCATTGCAAGACTCAGAGGTATATTCAGGTCTGGCATGAAACTCTTGCTGTTCATCCTGCCATCACCAGTTTTGCAATTGATTGGTACCAGTCTCAATGTTCTGCCTTTTTGATATAAATGCTAATTATATACTTCTCATTACCTTCTCACTTGATGCAAATCTGGCAAGGACCCCAGCATCTAGTTGTCTGCAATCTCAGGAAGTGGGAGGGGGGAGCAAGGGGGTTGAGGACTTTTATTTTCTTTTCCTTTTCTTCAGTTTAGGAAATGAGAACTGTACGGTGTGCTGGCTCACACACATAGGTTAATGGTCTGACACCAAATACCTGAGAGTATTCTCAGTATGTCAGCTTTGGGAACTGAAAATTGAATAAGCAGCAATAATGAAGTTCCTTTGCACTCCCCTGATATCTCTTCTTGTCATCGCTTATGATGACTTTCAAAAGTCAGTAGCTTTCTACTACTTTTACTCAAAATGTACAATGAGCCATTTACCCTCTGTTCACGACACTCCAAGGGGTGGGAGTGAACCAAATACCCAAAATAAAAAACTACCAGAGAAAACCAAGATTTCTACTGTAAAAAATCCATCAGAAATAAAGCTACAGAATTATGTAACATATAAAGCTTATTTTACTTCACTTTAGCAATAGCATTAAAGGCCTTCTATGAAAGGAAATCCAGGATTCAGAGGACACACAGTGTTTTATAACTTGATATTTTATGGACTCCACTGTGCATGTGCTTTTCATTTACACATTTGCATCCTATACATTCCTTATTCTATTTGGTATATCTGTTGTCCAAAATGCCCTTAATTAACTGCTTTAACCTGTGTTTTTTCCCTCGTAACACACATTTCATTTATTTTTTTATTGTCAGTTACAATAAACGTAATTTATTGTAAAAAACAGTGTAGGTGGATAAGTGAGAGCAGGGGAATGCTCGTTCTAATTTTAGATAAAAGAATTATCTCAGAACTGAAAACAGAAACAGAAATACTATTTTGGTTTAAAATATATATATATATATATACACAAATGCATAGCTAGCCTTTCGCTATGTATAAAATAAAATTAGATAAAGCATTCAAAATTCTTAGTGAAAAAAATAAGAAATTCAAAAAAGAAATATTTAGAGAGTGTACAGAAAGGTGAAATCTGAAGCCTGTTCAGAAAGTACCTGGTAGCACTGTAATCTGCTTTCATTTGACTCTTCAGAGAAAACAGTAACTAACATTTTGTTCATTTTCTTGCCTTAGAAAGAGTTTTCTTGCAAGATGAGACAATACAGCTGCCACCTTGACAGAAGGCAATTAAGTCTTTGCAACTCTGAACAATAGCCTCAGCAGTAAAATACCGTTTCCTTGCAACAATAAGTACACGATACATATTTATTTGGATGTCAAGAGTGAATTTTTAAAAGTCATCCAAAGCTGAGTAAAGAAAGATACCTAAATTCATTGAGACCAAAATAGTACTTCCAAAGATTAGGTAAAGGCAATACCAGCACTTCCAGGTTTGCCTAAAAACAAATGCCCAGGAAAAGAGTGCTTTTTTTCCCCAGCTTTGTATATGGTTTATTATAATAGAATCATGAAAGGACTACAAACTGCCATGCCTGATTGAATACATAAGCATTTGTAGAGCAGTCTGGGTAAAAAGCAGCACAGGAAAATGAGTAAAGGATTGCGGTATAGGGGCCAGAAGAAATTAATCTCCAGTTCTCTATACAGAGCAAGAATGATCCCATCAGTAGTATTCTGGCAGAATTTTCTCATGTGTGAATGGTTAAGGAAAAGAGAAGAAGGCAGCCAGTTCTTCTTTCAGTTTCATAAAACTCAACCACCTCAAATAGTTCATCTGGATTTCTGATTGTTTGAAATACTTTGTGACAAACATTCACAAAGAGGATGCAACCATCTTTTCTACAGTGATTAAATGTCGATAAACAGAAAAGAAGTGGACAGCTTATCAGGTTGTAACAATTGTCTCTTGCATTCACCAGTCTCAAAGAAATATCTCTCTCTATAAAAACACGTAATGAATTGCTCATGAATGCACTGCTACACCACCCTTCTAAAATGCTACTCATTACTATAAGCCATGAAGTTAAAATTTTGAAGTTTTTAATATGTTAGTTTGCACTTTACAAATGAAGTCACACACTGATCTCTAAGTGGGCATGATCTTCAGATATATGAGAACTGAGAAACTATGCAAGGGAGAAATGCTACATACCTACGAGCACTGCTCACCAAGGGTAGAGTGTAAAAGGTGAACAGGCATAAAGTTTTCATGATCAGTCCAAAAGACTGAGATGGTAGTAACCAAGTTACAGTAAGCTCTTCTACCCATCTTGTAAAGTATCTACGTGAATAATACTGTATTTGATGAGTAAATATTCTATATGAATTCAATAGATTCATTTGTGATTCAACGGATTAATTTTGGAACTCTCTACCTCCTGGAACTTAGTGACACAAGTGGCACTTTGCAAAAAGAAAAAAATGTTGATGACCTGAAGAAAGTGGTGAGTTATGCAGTAAAAGTGTATTCTGCCCCATTTCTGGCAAATTTCCTTGAAAATTATGAATGTGATGTGACAATTAACTTTCACGAGTAGGGTCCTTATTCCTTATGATTCCATCTTCCACAGGTCAAATTTGGAAACACTTCCTTCAATGATGCCTTCCTATTTCATGTAATTCATTTCAGCCTTTAGGCCCCAGCCTCATTAATCTATTCTTTAATGCCTCTCAATCATTTCTCCCTGCTCTGCTTCCACTGCAGCAATTGATGCTTTACTGAGCAACACAGTCTCCCCCATTTTTCCCATTTTATCTCCCCATTCATACTTTCATAGTCAAGCTTCATCAACATTCTTGTACTCTGCAGTATAAAGCAGTGATTTCTGTAAACTACTCTTCCTCTTATTATTAATCACATATAAAGTTGATTTATTTTAAAATTTCACCACAAACCACGGGTACATAAATTAACATTTGCTTTCATTCTTCCTATATCTTGAAAAATAGTCCTAACATGATATCTGCATTTTGCAAGCTTTTTTTTTTTTCCATTTCTATGTTGCTGGCAAAAAGCATCACCTTCAGAAGACCGAAAATTATAAAATAATTGTTATTTGTACTACAAGGGGTTATTTTAAAAAACACATTATGCTAAATTTGCATGTCACTCAGAATATGCACCAACGTGAAGGTGCACTGAGTCAAACTGGGCATGTACCAGTACCACTACAGAACTGGGGATGAAAATACAAGAGGATCCACAAGAGCTCACTTTTAAATAAAATGCAGTGAGAAGGGGCATATTATGAAAAAACCTAGAGACTGCTTTATGAATAAGAGTCTTGAAAAAGGAAGAGACAGGAAAAGTGGCAACAAGCTGAAGAAGTTCTACCTCAATTACCAGTAGAATAAATTCTACCATTAAAATACATTTCAAATAAATATTTCTTCCCTATTCCTAACAAAATTTAGATTGTGGCAATGGACAGGACATATGTGAATAGAACATGAAACACAATATATCTTTTATAGATGTTCAAGATTTTAATCAGTTTTTCTGCCTTTTTTCAACATGCATGTTTTGAATGTTACAGATAGCTTTATTATCAAACTAGACATTTTATATGTCAATGAGGTCCTTTGGCTTAAAAAGCATAGTTGACTGTGGTCTCTTTTCAGCATCACTTTGTGGGTTTCCTTTTTTTTAATGGACTTTATAAATTAAAAGGAAGATCAATCCTTGTCTTATTACAGAGAAAAGTAGCTTAGTTCTAGTTAAATTCCAGGCTCAGCTTATTGCCTGGATTTTCAAAACCTGTTGGTAACTTTAAGACAATATAAAGACCTTCAAAAACACTCAAAACCTAGAGGTTTTAACATTACTGAGTGCACAGGTATCTGTTAGCATCATAAAACTACTATTCATACAGCATCTTTATGTCTGTTGCTGATCTAGACGAGTAACTCTCCAGCAGTACATCTCAAATTGCTGTGTTTTCTCTGCTTTCAACGTCTGACTTAAGTCAATTATCATTTTTAAAAGGCTGAACTTCAGCATTTTTTTATAAACCAGTTACCATCTAAATACATTTTGTAAAATCTTACAGCTGTCTACACAGCTAATTAAAATGTTTTCTCTTTTTTCTATATCGAGGTTACTTACATTATCACACAGGAGGCTCTTATTTTTGGTGCCTGTTGCATAACAGTCACAGGGTTTGCAAACATCAGTGGCTGAAAGATCTGCACCTGCTTGTCTGTAATGGAAATCCTTGCACAGCTCACAGTTCCTTCCTGCATGAAAGAAAGGTTATGCATTATGGCTTCCAATTCATTAAAATTAGCTGTATAATTCAAAATTAAAGACTATTCCTTTGAGAGAATTCTATAATTTTCAGGACGTCCATTTTAATGCACCTTTCATCTCTACCTGCCAATTTAGTGATCCAGAGCATATGAAACAATGAACCTGTTACAAACTATGTTTTACTCCATTAAACTTCCATCTGTTATATAATACCACACTTATATAAAAGCTGTGCCATGCAAATGCCTATACATTTTTTTTTAAAAAATTATCATTGAACCTGAAACTTTTCTTTTTCCCCTTTACTAGATAAAGCCAAGAAAACTGAAATAGAAGAAAACTGTTTTAAAAAGTATTCAAATGCACTATCTACACTGAATAAAGACCTTTACTCAATAAGCAAGAAACTAACATTTTTGAGATGTCTGTTAAACTGGTCCAATTAGAAAAATGATATTCTAGATTTAAATGCCCTAGCACATGTAACGGTAATAGCTTTGAATATATATGTTTTAATTATTTATTAGAATGTTTTTTGCACAAAAGATTTTATACAAGATTGGATCAAATTTTACCAGTATTTTCCTATGGCCTAAGAATCGACACAACTGTTACTACTGCACTATCTGAATAGTTAGAAATATATATACATGAGATTTTATTGGACTGTCAGCCATCAAGCACTGCTAATCTCAGCTGACATAAAACTTAGTCAAAAAGTGACTGCAAAACAAACAGTCCATTCTCTTTGGTGTGACTTACCAGCTGTGTTGTGCTGACAGTTATCACACACTCCACCACCACCTCTGTAGTGTTCCTGAGGAAAAGGATCCATTGCTAAGTCATAGTGGCAGCTCACTGCATGGCTGTAACACTGACATGGTTTGCAATTATAAGCATGAACTTGGTCACCTGGACGAAAAGGCTTGTCATTGTATAATGGCAAGCAGCGATCACACTGAAATAAATAATAAATAAAATACTATTTCTTAGAAATTAATATTTCTTTCTCTCATGAGAATACTATTATACCCTCTATATTGATATTTCATTCTGTGTTTTACCCCATTTAAATATTAATAGTATTGGTTTTAGACAAAAAGACCTATGCTTTCTCGCATATAGGAAAATAACAAACCCAACATTTTAATTATTATTATTTTAGGCATTTTAAGTTAATTAAACACACCAAAAGCAAGGAAAGTGGGCAGAAGAATAAAATTTTAAGTATTTAGATACTCAACACAGGCTAACATCTTGAGATTCAGATTTACCTAAACTTCTAATGATGTAAGATTGTGCCTGCTGTGTTTGAGGTACAGAAGACATATTCACCTAGTGCATCCATTTGGATGGATTTTAAACAATGTTATTGTAGTTTCTAACATTGTAGTAACTGTACTTTGTACTGTCACCATTTGACCTTGTGAGTGAAACCAGAAACAAAATACATGGCAATTTTAATTTCCATCTTTCAGATGGAATTTAAATGCTTCAAAATAAGTTGCTTCTGTAAATTATTTGGGCAACTACTTTCTTTTTTGGGCAACTTCTGTCTTCTTCAGTTCCAGAAGTGTGCTCATGACTATTATTCCAAGCACTATTATATCTAGGCCAGTGTGTCTGTATCACCTATATTCTGACAATTAGGAAACTGCTGAAGTTTCTAAACTTTTCCTCACAGCTGATGCTGGGAAAGCATCAGCTGTGGGGAAAATGAGAAACTGAATTAAAAGCCATATGCTTAAGATGATCCAAGAATTGCAGACCAGTCACAACTCATAACAAAAGTCACTTGGGAGACAAAATGAAAGCATAAGAACTTATCTGCTGAAATTTAGTTTTAATAAATGAAACTAACAATAAGCGGTAAGATAACAATAGCTACTGCACATTTTTGCCATCTGTTAAAAAAAAAAACCCAAAGCAACAAAAACCCACAACAATACCACATGAGGAAAAATCAGACTTTTCAAAATGAAAATTAGCAGGGCTTCACTTGAGACCTTGAACTCTGGCCTTTCTTTATTAGAACAATCGCTGATAATTGTGATTAGCTCAGATAAAGTACACTAAGGGAAACACCTTGACTGCTACTGCTACACAAGCTACAAAGCTCAAATTTATTCAAGTCCTTCCTTCATCCACATCCATCTTCCCTCTCCCTTTGTCTCTGCCTTGAAGAAAATCAACATTACACAGCACCAACATGAGACAAGGGTTCATTCAAGCATGGCACAACTTGGGAAGCGCAACAAAGAAACAAGCTCCCAGCCAAGCCATCCAACTCATGCAGCTTCCTCCTCTCAGCATGTCTATGGAAATATATCCTCCTTGAAAGGAAAATAGCACAAGAATAGCTACCAACCTGCCAGCCCTGAGTTTCCATTTGTGCATGGCTAGCCACACAGCAGCTGAAAGCATTCATCATCTCATTTCAGATTTAATCTTAGATCAGTTACTTATGCACACCTGTGCTTGCACCTATTGTTAAACAACACAGGCACTAAGGAGTAAGAAAGAAAAAGATGGCATTTGATTACCTAGGACAGAGCCTCTTTGAAATATGTCTCTTGTTCTGTGGCTTAAAACTTTAACAGAACTTCAAAGAATCACAGAATCATTAAGGTTGGGAAAGACCTTTAAGATCATCAAATTCAACTATTAACCTAATGCTGCCTGGTCCACCACTAAGCGACTTCCCTAAGTGCTACTTCCACACATTTTTAAACACTTCCAGGGACAGTGACTCCATCACCTTCCCTGGGTAGCCTGTTCCAATCACTGAAAACCCTTTCAATGAAGAAGTTTTTCCTACTATCCAATTTAAACCTCCCCTGGAACAACTTGAGGTTGTTTCCTCTTGTTCCAATGCTTGTTACCTGGGAGAAGAGATTGACTCCCACCTGTCTACAATCTCCTTTTAAAAGTCTTGGCAAAAAAGTAGTCATTCAGAAATCAGCAATGAGTGTGAAACAATTGTTTTTCTAGCAGTTGTCACATGTGTATGCAATAAAAATGTGAATTGGGCTCCCACCTCACCCTGCTGTTTGTCACACCTTTACTAGGTTAAGAATTGCATTTAACTTCCAGACCTCCAGTGTTGAACTTTCAAAGATATACATGGCTTTTAGGTAATATCTGTTCCAGCACAGTTTCACCCTGCTCTGGAGACAGTCATCCTAATTTCCTCATGGCTTTCATCAGCACCTTCATTACAGCATTTGACTATCTATCAAGACCATGTGCTATCAGAGCTTTGAACTGCATCTGTCT